GCCTCAAAAGTCGTATGCCTGCTAGAAGAGGGCCGGTCCCCCCTTGTCTTCCCATGAGCGCAAAACGAAACGGACGACATGGCGCATGTGCTGCTGCCATATGCCCGAGAGTGGCATCTCGCTGCCAAGTGCATAGTTGCCCGCCTGCCCAAGCCCTTCATCGGCGTGCACTATCGCTCTGAGTTCATTGCCTTCTGGCTGGTAAGTTCCCCATCTGTGGCTTCTGGTCTGAGGTGCCTCAAAAGGCGCCTCAAAAGTCGTATGCCTGCTAGAAGAGGGCCGGTCCCCCCTTGTCTACTCTTCCCTTGAGCGCAAAACGAAACGGACGGCATGGCGCATGTGCTGCTGCCGTATGCCCGAGAGTGGCATCTCGCTGCCAAGCGCATTGTTGCCTGCCTGCCCAAGCCCTTCATTGGCGTGCACTATCGCTCTGAGTTCATCGCCTTCAGGCTGGTAGGCTCCTGCTGCCCCTAGAGAGTCTGTAGGCTGCCTATGCTACAGCAGTTGCCCAAGCCCGCCTGCCCAAGCCCTTCATTGGCGTGCACTACCGCTCCCAGTTCATTGCCTTCAGGCTGGTAGGCTCCTGCTGCCCCTAGAGAGTCTGTAGGCTGCCTATGCTACAGCAGTTGCCCATGCCCGCCTGCCCAAGCGCTTCATTGGCGTGCACTACCGCTCCCAGTTCATTGCCTTCAGGCTGGTAGGCTCCTGCTGCCCCTAGAGAGTCTGTAGGCTGCCTATGCTACAGCAGTTGCCCATGCCCGCCTGCCCAAGCGCTTCATTGGCGTGCACTACCTCTCCCAGTTCATAGCCTTCCGGCTGATATGCTGCCTTAGATCACTCTGAGCCTGTCTACGCTTAGCAGCTGCCCATGCTGCCCGCCTACCCAAGCCCTTCATTGGAGTGCACTACCGCTCCCAGTTCATTGCCTTCCGACTGGTATGCTGCTCGACTGAATCTAGTCTGGTAGGCTGTCCATGCCACGCTGAGATGATTTTTGAGTTGACTCAAAAATTGACTTATCAGTCTGGTAGGCTGTTCATGCCACGCTGAGATGATTTTTGAGTTGACTCAAAAATTGACTTATCAGTCTGGTAGGCTGTCCAGGCTACGCTGAGATGTTTCTTGGAGTGCCATTTTTTTCCGAATTCAACCCCTTGAAAATGGTATGCTGCCCCTCTGCTGCTCTTCCGTTGGCCTTTCAGTCAGCTATTCGGCTGACTCATTCTGAGCTGGTTTGATTGTACGTTAACAGAGGAGAGGAGTCGTGTGATGGAAGCGAACTAGCACCTGATCCAGTTGGTTCTCGACTCCGCTTGCCTCCTCCCATTCTTGAGGCGCCTCAAGAAGTCATTCTGAGTTGGTTTGATTGTACGTTAACAAAAGGGTCGTGTGATGGAAGCGAGATGGCACCTGTTCCAGTTGGCTCTCAACTCCTCTGGCTTCCTCCCATTTTCTCTTACCGCCTTCTTTAGCTTTGAGGATTCATCCCATTCCAACATCCAATCGCCATCACTATTCCCATCCCCATCGCCAAACCATTGCCATTTTCAGGCAGGCGAAAATAGGACCGACATCCCAGTCGAAGAGAGGCTGAAGATTCTCAATGACCGCACCAGATGGTGCACCCGGGAAGCTGCCCAGAAAATAAATAAAGTAAAAAAGAGGCTAAATGCATCGACCGTCTTTCTGGCAGCCGATATTCCGTACAATCAGTCCGGCGTTACGCCTCGGTCAGAATCATGGGATGCGCTGAAATGGGCTTTTGGAGATAATAATGTGTCGGATGTGCCTCACTATTGGCTGTCCTGGTTGCGTGAGAGAGTGCAAGGGACTGTCATGATTGACGAGCTTATGCCATCGGCAAATAGCCTCGACCCAGGTGCGTCTCACACTCCCTTATCTGCACTTGAAAATTACCTTTTTGCTAAGCTGTTGGTGTCCAGTCGGTCCAATTGTGGCTGCAGCGTTTCACAGCGTCTTTGTTTGTTGAATATTCTGGCAGGTATTGTGGCCATATTAGACAAGCTGATTTGTGCGCGGTCAAGCATCTTCCTTGCTGGCTCCATATCTTGTGGAGGTGGCCGGGGCTTTGAGAAAGATATATTGCTTCACCGAGACAGCTTGAATAAAAAGCTAGATTTCGCTAGATGGGCTGCTGGGGAGAAACCCTTTTAGCATTAGTATGTTTCTGAACAATATATTAAGCTGTCTTGACCCCGAACTGGGAATAGAGATCAGTAAAAAGAAGTTATACTGATATCGAATGCGTTCAATGCGCGATTCAAGCAATTTGTGGTGTGGGTCGTTATCCCCGGTGCGACGTGTCGTTCAGGAGTGACTGCCAATCAAAGGCGAGGTGACGTGTGAATTGTATGACGTGTGGATCTCGGGGCAATCCAGCTTCGCTTCCATTCGTATTTCACTGATGAGAATGCCTGACATGCCTCGGATTTCTCGCGGAATCCATTTCGAGCTCATAGGGGCGTACTCACACAAGAGTGTCGACACCTCTTTGTTTTCCTGATTGTGCTGCAGTTGCGTTTCCAGAGGAAATTGTCGGATTCCGTTTCAAGCTTTGCCAGAAACACTTGACTCCAAAGAAAGCCAATTGCTTCAAAGTACGACTGTATTTCATCTCGGATCGGTACGTTTCAATGGAACGGTTCCAGTACCAACGTCCTGGAAATCTTCTCGTCCACCCGCTACGACTCATACCGCGTTTAGCTTCCTGACCAGCCTTCACATTCCTCAGAGAGACATACCTCACTGATATCTACCTTCGAGCCTATTTTGAGAGGCTAGCTTGTCTGAAGCTACTCCTCTCATCTTTCACACATTCAGGACCAATTTGGGGATCTGTCATAGTCGGACAAATGGCTGCTGCAACTCTCTCCGCGTCCGTTGCTCAGGCCGCCGTTGCGCTTCAATGTAAGGCAATGCTAGCTGGCAAGTCCGATTGCTCTGGTCTGTGGAGACTTCCCATGCACAATGAATCGCGTATCGTTTTTCCGGTCTCAGCTACTTCGTAATATAAAGTAGTGAAAGTAGGAGCGTAAGGATACATGTTCGGCTCTGACACATGCATCTTCCGTCTTTAGATAAATCTAAAAAGTTTCCACCCGTAACTTTTCCTTCGTTCCGATCTAACTCGGACATTGAGTCTCCCTCGAATCTCTCCGCTACCCCTTTGCAGGCAATGGCAGCAGCACGTCATCCGTTCGTGCGGATCGGATCTCCTCAGCAGCGGCTCTTTTCCCCTCCAGAGTCGCTCTGTCTGGTGAGTCCATTCTTCTCATTCCCCCCTCTTATAGCCACTCTTCAGCAGCGGCTCTTTTCCCCTCCAGAGACGCTGGTTTCTCCGGTGAGTCCGTTTTCCTGACTACCTTGGCTTCTCCTATCCCCTTGAGGTTCCCCATGGCTCTTCAGATCGTTCATCCAATCCAACCATTCTTCAGCACAGTTCATGTGTCCATGTGACCATTCCTTTACGTGGCCATGTCTTGACAAGGCCGTTCGTTCATGCGGTGATGCTGTCACGTGGCCATGCGGTCGTATCTACCCCTCTCTTTCCGTTTTGCCTTGCGCGCGCCACTGTTTGCCTCTAACGCCTGTTTGCTTCTGCCCTCTCCCTGTTCCCGCTTGCCCCTGGCTTCTCCCCGCCTACTTCCCCTTCCACCCACCCTTTCCCTACTTTCGCCCCCTCTCCTCCTTTGTCCCCTCCTCATTCTGGGCTTCCTCCGCCTCTTCCGCCTGCTCCGCCTGCTCGCCTTCCACCCCTCTCCTTCGCCTCCGCCTCTTCCGCCTGCTCCGCCTGCTCCTCTTCCGTCCGCCTCCTCCGCCTCCGCATGCTCAACCTCCCCTCGTACCTCCGCCACCTCCTCTTCCGCCTCCTATTCCTCCCTCCGTTTCCGCTTCTTCCGCCTGCTCTGCCTCCTGTCCCGACCACAGCCAGCAGCCACGTGTCTCGCAGCGCGCGCACGCCAGGCAGCGGGGTTGCGAGGAGAGCCAACCGGGTGGCGCCACGTGCCTCCGCTGACGCAGAGGAGCCGGTGACCATTGACAACTCGACTGGTGAGATTTGGATGCCCTTGTGTAGTGAATCTCCGAGTTGACCAGAGGACGGGTTTCGGGCATAAGTGGATGAATGCGGGAGAGCGAGGGCGAGGGAAGGGCAGAAGAGCCGGTGACCATCGACAACTCGACCAGTGAGATTTGAGCTGTCTAGTATACTTCTGTCCAAGTCGCAAAACCACCAGAGAGAAGGTTTAGGGTAGAGGGGCGGGATAGGATGAGGGATGGGGACAAGGAGGGGAAGGGTCGAGGTATGTGGATGGGCTCGTCAGGGAGAAGAACGAAGGGAGGGTACAACACACAGACGAAGAACGAGAGCTGCAAGAACGGAGAATGTGAGAGTCACAAATAATATGTCAGTGGGAATTGGATGGCATCAGGTGGTGTGAGGCCCACACGCTATCTCCCCCTATCTCTTCCCGTGTAAGGCCCCCCTATCTCCCTACCAACTCGCCCCTCCATCAACCCCCCCCCCCCCCCCCCCCCCCCCCCTTCCGCTTCCCCCGTGCACTTCGCCCTTCACTACTTCCGCTCCCCCCGCCCACCTGCCCCCTCGCTCACAGTGCTCGTGGTGGGCGGCGGGGGAGTGGGAATGGAGGTGGTGCGGCAGCTGGCCAAGGCGGGCTCGTGGGTGACGGCCCTGCAGAGGGGGGAGAAGTTCCGCAAGGAGATTGAGGGGTTGGGAGCCATGCTCGCAATCGGCGATGTGATGGCGCCTGGGACGATTGAGAAGGCCCTCAGAGGAAACACCTTTGATGCTGTTGTGTCTACCGTTGGTGAGCGTGTGTGAGAGTGAGTGCGCGTGGGTCACTGCCCTGCAGAGGGGGGAGAAGGTCCGCAAGGAGATTGAGGGGCTGGGGGCCATGCTGGCCATTGGGGCCGTCATGGCTCCAGGAACCATTGAGAAGGCTCTCAGAGGGAGCACCTTTGATGCTGTTGTCTCTACTGTTGTTGAGAGCCACAAGGGAGTGGGCGTATTTGTGTGCGTGAGTGTGGCTATGTGTGTGTGTGTGTGTGTGTGTGTGTGTGTGTGTGTGTGTGTGTGTGGGTGTGTGTGTGTGTGTGTGTGTATGTGTGTGTGTGTGTATATGTGTGTGTGTGTGTGTGTGTGTGCGCGCGCGTGCGCGTGAGACTATGTGTGCCCAACTATACTCATGTGTTCGCGTGTCTGTGTTTCAATGTGTGTCGGTGCAGGTGGGGGTCTTACAGACATCAAGGTGGATTCGGTAAGTGGGAGATGCGTTGCTGTGTTCAAGTAAGGTCAGTGCACTGTGTTGTGTTGCTGCAATTCGTTACTGGTTGGGCTGCTGTGTTACTGGGATGAATACCTTCGAAATGCATTACAGCTGCGTTATTGCCCATCTTTGGCTCCTCCCCTTTTTCTTATTTTCTCCTGCTTTGTGTTTCCTTCCTCAACCTCTCTTTCACCTCCTTTCTCCACCCCCCAACAGGATGGTAACATCAACGTCATTGAAGCAGCAGAGAAGGCCGGCGTTCCTCGCTTTGTCCTTGTGAGCTGATTTGCTGGAGGGGAGTGAGGTTGGGAGGGGGGGGGGGGGGAGGAAAGGGGAGGGGGAGGGGGGGGGGGGGGGGGGGGGACTCTTGAAGCGCCTCAACAGTCGCCTGAAACCCTAGGCGAGTATGAACGTGATTGCAGCAGCAGTGAAGGCTGGCGTTCCTTGGTTCGTCCTTGTGAGTTGTTTTTTGGAAGGAAGGGGAGAAGGAATAAGGGAGGTGGGGTGGAGAGGTGATATGGAGGGAAGAAGGGGGGGTTAGGGAAGGAAGAGCTGGAAGAGGTGGGAAGGAAGGAGTAGGGGGCGTGGTGGGTTAGGGGGGTGGGGTTGTGGGAAGGGGGAGGGGTGGGAGGGTGGGTGGGTGTGGGAGTCCCTCGTTTCATGTTCGCAAGTTTCTCATTTTGAGATGGCCGTGCGGGTGCGGGGCCGGTGTTGGCAGAGAAGGTGAAGAGTGCGGAGCAACCCATCCCCATTTCCACGTGTGATGAGGTTGTTTTTGAGACGTCTCAAAGAGAAGGTGAAGAGTGCGGAGCAACCCAACCCCATTTCTTCTTCCTTGCGGGTCACTGGTCATGAAGAAGAGCTGCAGCGTGAAGGATCGCTTTAGCGAAGAACGATAGTCACTTGTAGAAAAATAGTAACCCTGTAAAAAAATAGAGTAGGGACTGAAAGCACAGCTCTGTGCGGAGCAACCCATCCCCATTTCTTCTTCCTTGCTCCTCTAATTCCCTGTGCCGCCCCTCTAATTTCCTGCTTCCCCTCTCTCCCTGCATACCTCGGCTCTCCCCCAGGTATCCAGCATAGGAGCGGGCGACAGCAAAGCTGCCGTCCCAGGGAAGTAGATGGACATGCTGGGGCCGGTGCTGGCGGAGAAGGAGACGACCGAGGAGAGACCCAGCTCATTGTTTCCCATGTCCTCCTCTCTCATTCCCTCCTACGCCAGGTATCCAGCATAGGAGCAGGGGATAGCAAGGCGGCAGTGCCAGGCAAGGAGATGGACGTGTTGGGGCCGGTGCTGGCAGAGAAGGAGAAGAGCGAGGAGCGGCTCAAGGCCAGCGATAAGCTCAAGTGGACCATCGTTCGCCCAGGAGGCCTTCTCTCTGATGTAAGGGGCGAGGAGGGAGGTGAGGTGCGATCCTTCTTTGGGACGTAGGCCTGTTGGACACAAGGAGAAGGGCGGGGAGCGGCTCAAGTCCAGCGATAAGCTCAAGTGGACCATCGTCCGCGCAGGAGGCCTTCTCTCTGATGTATGTGAGCATGTTCTGTTATCGGTTTGAGTGGAAAGGTAAGGTTTCTGAGGAGAAACAGGAGCGGTTTGAAGGCGAGCGACCAGCTCAAGTGGACCATCGTTCGCCCAGGAGGCCTTCTCTCTGATGTAAGCTCTCTCTGCTTTGACTGGAAGGGAAGGAGTTGTTCCTCAGTTAAGACAGGTTTACGGAGAGGAGAGCAGCAGCTCCATGCGAGTGCGAGAAGCTCGAGTGCATCATCGTTCGCCCCGGAGGCCTGCTCTCAGATGTGAGCCTGCTTTGCTTTGGCTTAGGGTGAGAGGCTTTGTGAGTGCGGGACAGGAGCGGCTCAAGGCGAGTGATAAACTCAAGTGGCCCATCGTTCGCCCTGGAGGGTTGCAATCAGATGTGAGCGTGCTCTCAGGTGTCAGGGGCGAGGGGAGGGGTCAGATGTCAGCTTTGGCTTGAGGTGAAATGTTTCGTCTCTGAGTCTTCTTGAAAAGCACGCCCTGTTCTCCCCCGACTCACCCTCCTCTCTTTCTTCTCCTCACGCCTTCCTCCTCCAGGCGACCAGTGGCTCGGGCATTTTCACAGCGGACAGCAGCGTGTTGGGTTGGGGGTCGTCTCGTTTTTTGAGTCGATTCAAAAACCACCTCCTACCATCCCCTTCTTCTCTTACCGTCCTTCCCTCTCTCTGCTGCACACACCTCCCTCCTCCAGGCTGCCACTGGCACGGGCATTCTCACAGAGGACAGCAGCGTAGTCGGGGTCATCTCCCGTGCTGACGTGGCACAACTGGTGAGTCACCGCCCTTGCTGATGTGGCGCAGCTCGTGAGTCGCCACCTGGTTGCTGAACTCAGTTGTGACTTGTCTGTAGATTTCTGAGGTCCGTACATATCTGCACATGCCCAAATTATTCAACCCCTATCTACGCCTGGTGCCCATCAACCCACCTTCAGATTTTGCGCACTTTTGTTGAGGAGAAGGCTGGGGACGATTGTGATGCTGCAATTTCCCACCATCCCTTTCATGCATATGTCCCCATCCCCCCATCGTCCCTCCCCTGCATGTGTATGCTCACCACCCCACCATCAGATTTTGCGCATTCTCTTTGAGGAGAAGGCCGAGGGGAAGGTTTTCTCTGCCATTGACGCGCAAAAGGTGGGTGTATATTCGTCCCTCTACCCCACCCTCTGTACACATGCCACACATATTTGCTCCCACCCACTGTGGTGTGCATAATCAACACACATTGGTGGTGATGTATCCTGGTGCCCCACGCTGCTCATTCTGAACCCCGCCGTGATTTGTGCAGAAATTCCCTGGAGCACCTGAGAAGGAAATTGCTGAGTTCAAGGTGTAGAACATTCCTTGATACAGTGATAGTCTATGTTAGGAATTTAAGAAGGCTGAACTCGGAGCCCTTGAGAAGGATATTGTAGAACCTTATCTGAAATAGTTATGTATTATCTTATCCTAGCCATTCTACCTAACAGTAAGAAGAGAACGTCTGTAAGGAAAATCTCCTTTTCCTTCGCATCCCTGCTCAACGCGTACGTCACTATAGCACCACAGTCAGCACCGTTACCACTCGCCCCCCTCGCATCAACAATCCGCCCGCCACTTTCGCACGTCGCACCCCGACCTTACGGCTCGGCGGGTAACCCGCGCTCCGGACCTCCGCCTCGACACTTTTCCCAACCTCAGTCCCAGGCCTGTCGCGCGACAACCACAGTCCATTACCGTTACCACTGTAGTTTCGCTATATAATCCTTCGCTCATGCCTTCGCTCATTGTACTCTTGCTTCGATAGTGCAATTCTCGTTCGCTCACTCAATTGCACTCGTAACACTTGGTATCAGAGCCTACGATCTCTTCTCGGACCGCACCCACACCTTCGCTTCCCCACTATCTCAATTTTTTGGGGGGGGTAGACGTCTCTCAGCGACACAGCACCGCCGCTCGTAGTGCTCTCTCGTAAGCACGCACGGCCACGACTGAGGCTCTCGCTGAGCTCGCCCGACACCCCCGCCATGGCCGAATTCACGCTTGCCACACTGACGCAGGAGCAGCTCGACCGTCTGGTGCTCCAACTCGAAGATTCGGCGTTGGAAATTGCGACGCTCACAGCGGAACGTGACTCCGCGCGTCAGCAATCCACGGTGAACACCCCAGCAACACCAACAAATGCACCTGCGCAGTCAGACGAGCCGATCGTCATTTCGTCCGGTACACCAACAGCACACGGCAGCATGGGACAGCGCTCAGGCGCAGCCAGTGACAGCGCCGCCCAACCGATGCCTGGCATGGGAGGAAACGGGAGCGCGCCAAGCCCACGGGAGCCTCGCGGAAACCGTCGGCACGTGGAATTCGCAGCGACAAGTGGCGAACAAGCCGTCATGACGCCAATGCCACTCAAGCCGCAACGACCGCCCTGTTTCGACCCAAGCCAACGTGGAGGTCCGACGGTTCAATCGTGGGTCTTCACGATGAACGTTTTTTTCGACGCGAATTACGTCGAGTCGGATGCAGCAAAGATTCGGTATGTTGTTTCGCTGCTGAGGGGCCCCGCCATGGACTGGTGGCGAGTCATCGTGACGTCGCCACGCGCCTACGAGCCACCGTCGCAAGAGGAAGGGCCCCCGAGTCCAGCTGTTAACTGGAGTTCGTTCTGCGAAACCGCCCAATACAGCACGTGGGATGCGTGGTGCGCAGGGCTTCGGGCGCGCTTCGAGCCGATCGCGGCTTCTATTTCGGCGCGTCAGAAACTGCGTACTTGGCGGCAGCTCGGATCGGTTCAAGATTACACGAGTGGATTTCTCGCACTTTGCGAGCAAGTCGGTTATATGCACGAGGCGGAGCGGGTGGACCGTTACGTCGGAGGGCTGAAGCCGGACATCTCGCACGAAATCATGCTACGCGGGCTCTCGAATTTTAACGAGATTCTCGCGCTCGCCGAGAAAATCGACATCCTACGACGACCGAGACCGGGGTCCTACTACGGACATCGTCCTCGGGGATCGATCGAGCACGCCACTGTGAACGCCGTTGCGACGAATGCAGCTGCCGCGCCGTTTAAGGGGCGCTGCTTTGCTTGCAACAGGCCGGGCCATTGCAAGAGCGAATGCCCAGAGGAGCTAAGGCGCCGAGGAGCAGAGCAGGGGAGGGAGTCTCAGAGGCAGGGAAACGCCAGCAGTCAGTAGAAATTGGGCCAACTACTGACGAGACTGCCTGCTCGCCCAACCGCACCGACCCTCACCGAGTCACAGTACCGATTCACGCTATCGATCGGGCTCGGATGAATAAGGAGGGTACAGCGACGGATTGCCCAGTACTGATCCACGGGAAAATACAGGGAGCAGCAGTGAAGATTTTTATCGACGGAGGAGCAAGCCACAACTTAGTTAATACCGCAACCGCACGGAAAATGCAACTGCCTCTTAGCCGGTGCTTACGAGAGATCGACGCACGTTTAGTTGACGGCACGCCGCTGGCCATACGAGAGAAGGTGGAAAGGGTAAAAGTTCGCTGCGGGGGGAACTTCGGATTGACGCAGGAAATGCTCGCGACAACATTGGATGGGCACGATATTTTACTGGGACGTGATTGGCTGCGACGGTATAACCCGCGAATCGACTGGACGACGGGTAGCTGCACTGTGCGAAGTAGCGGTAACTGGGTCGAGCTACCTCGCTGGCAGTCGCCCGAGTCTTCAACGGTCCACGATGAAACGGGCTGTCGCCGCTGGAGCTGACGTGTACGCAGTGGATATAGCATTAGTAGGAGCAGCGGAGCAGCCGAGCGATTTTCAGAAACTGTTGGCAGCAGTACCGCCCGAACTACAGGAACTGTTGAAATGATGCCCGGGGATTTTTTCGGACGACTTACCGGAGGGACTGCCACCTCAGCGGGCGCATGACCATAGGATTGAGTTAGAACCGGGGGCACAGCCAACCGTACAGCGCCAGTTCAGACTGACACAGCCCGAGCTCGACGAACTAAGGAAACAGTTAGATTACCTGTTAGAAAAAAAGTTCATCCGACCAAGCTCGTCACCATTCGCCGCACTGATACTGTTCATGCCGAAAAAAGACGGGGGTTTCGCATGTGTATCGACTACAGAGCACTGAACAAGGTAACAGTCAAGTCGCGATACCCAATTCCCCGCGCCGACGAACTGATCGACCAACTGCGAACAGCACGAGTGTTTTCGAAAATCGACCTACGGGGGGGTTACCATCAGATTCGGGTCGAACCATCGGACTGCGCCAAGACAGCATTCAGGACTAGGTACGGGTCGTTCGAGTACACGGTAATGCCTTTCGGGCTGACCAACGCCCCGGCGACTTTTCAGATGACCATGAACGAAGCATTTAGGCCGCTCTTAGATAAATGCGTCATAGTTTACCTCGATGACATCCTAGTTTACAGTCGGGACAAGCAACAGCACTTAGCGGATCTGGAAGCGGTTTTTAAGGTTTTAGACGAACATCGCTTACTGACCAAGGGTTCCAAGTGCGAGTTCTTTCAGGATAGGTTAGAATTTTTGGGGCACGTCATTTCGGAGGCTGGAGTTGAAATCGACCCAAAGAAGCTGGATACAGTAAAAGCATGGCGTCTCCCGACCAACATCACGGAGCTGCAGAGTTTTTTAGGATTCGTAAATTATGTGCGTCGGTTCGTCCCCGACATGGCCCAATTGACTGCCCCACTGACTGACGGATTTACTGCGGAAGGGGGTCGCTTTTACGTGGGGGGAGAAAGAGCATGCTGCCTTCTCTGCCCTAAAAAATGTCCTCTTCTCACTGCCCGTCCTACGCATCGCCGACCCACACCGCCCTTTCGAAGTTGTTACTGACGCGAGCGACATCGCCATCGGAGCCGTACTGCTACAAGATTTCGGCAACGGCCTACAGCCCATCGCATACGAGTCACGAAAACTGCATCCGCCCGAGCGAAATTACCCGATACACGACCGCGAAATGCTCGCGATCGTGCACGCGTTCAAAGTGTGGCGCTGTTACTTGACCGGCGCAGACGTGACAGTACGGACAGACCACCGATCACTACAGTACCTCCGCGCACAGCCCCACCTCAACCCACGACAGATTCGTTGGCTCGACTTCCTCGAGTCGAATTTTCACTACACGGTCACCTATAAAAAAGGAGCCTCGAATATCGCCGACGCACTGACCCGCCCCACTGCCCAAATCCACGCGATACTACTCGCCTAGACCAGCCCGCTACTGACAGGACTATTTACCCATGGATATCAAACAGACCCACCCTTTCTTCACAGGAGGAAATTCGCAGCAATTCGCAGCAGCCAAGGGAGTCTATTACGTAAAAACCGGGACCGACCGCATTTGGGTACCAGGGTACACACTACTACGGGAACTACTATTACAGGAGGCGCACGACGGGGCTACCTCGGGACATTTCGGGGTAGAAAAAACACGACAGCAGCTGCAGCGTATTATTATTGGCCCGAAATGTTGACCGACGTACAGCGACACGTGGCATCGTGTCCCACTTGCCAGCTCATGAAGTCATCACGGAAGCGGCTGGCGGGACAGTTGCAGCCGATACCACCCCCAGAGCGTGCTTGGCAGCAGGTGACGATGGACTTCGTCACATGGTTACCGGCCGGGGCAAGTGGAAATGACGCGATCCTGGTCGTCGTCGATCGGCTGACGAAAATGGCACACTTCGCAGCCTGCAAAAAAACAATCACAGCCGAAGAAACAGCCCGCCTCTTCATCTCCACCGTCGTTCGACTGCACGGAATACCAGCGTCAATCATCAGCGACAGAGACACGAAATTCACCAGCAACTTCTGGCGGAACCTGTGGCAGCAGTTCGGCACGCGACTACAGTTCAGTTCATCGTACCACCCCGAAACAGACGGACAGACAGAATAGACAAACCAGACCATGGAACAGCTCATCCGGGCCACGTGCGACGACCCGAACACGTGGGAACAGCAGCTGCTGTCAGAATATTATGCTCTAGCCTGTAGTGGGGTGCTCTATAGCGAGTACAACCCTTCTAGGGTTTGCTATTTGTATCCCCATTCTTTCTAGTGCAACCTCTCTCCCTCTTTCACCTAAACTATCGTTTGCCTAGCTAGGGCTTTCCTAGCTTAGGCTCCTAAGACTACCTCCTGTTCTCACATGGTATCAGAGCTACATGCTCCTGGCCTGTGGGCCCCACTTCACTGCTTCCGCTGCTACTGCTACTCCCTGTCCGCCGCGCGCCCCGTGGTGCGCGGCGTTGACTTAGGGTTTTCTGCCCCGTCACTCGGCGCGTCGCCCCCGGGAGGCGCTGCGACGGGCGACGGGGACCCGCGCGTCGCCCCCCGTCGCCCGTCGTGGCCTGCGCGCGGCCCGTACGGGCTGCGCCAGGCCCGCGCGCGGCCCGTACGGGCTGCGCCAGGCCCGCGCGCGGCCCGTACGGGAAGCGCCAGGCCCGCGCGCGGCTCGGGCCGCCTGCGCGCGGTTCGGGCGGCTATGCCAGGCCCGTGGGCGGCCCGTTCCTCGCTGCCCCTGCCCTCCCCACTGTCCCCCGTGCTTCTACTGGCGCCCCACCCCTCCTACAGCCCGTTCTCCTGAATTAGGGTTTGGGGGTGAGGGGTATGGGGGTGAAGCCACTGAGTGCCGTTCCCTGTTCCTCCTCCTCCTCCGTCTCCCTGTGCTGCAGCTGCCGCTGAGGGGGGGTGGACTTGTTGGAGCCGTTGGAGTGGTACTAAGGGGGGGTGAAGGGGGAGTGGAGCTAGCGGTGTAGCAGCGGGTGTGTGTCAGGGGGAGTGGGATAGTTTGGGGAGGTTGAAGGGGGTGGCCGCCGTGAAGCCAGCAGCTCCAGTCGCCCGTGAGACCGTTGCGCCAGTCGCCCGTGAGCCCGTTGCGCCAGTCGCCCGTGAGCCCGTTGCTCCAGTCGCCCGTGAGTCCGTTGCTCGTCTGCCGCTACTTTTAGCCGCGGAGCCAGTTACTCCAGTAGCCCGTGTGCCAGTTGCTCCAGTTGCCAGTGTGCCAGTTGCTCCAGTTGCCCGTGTGCCAGTTGCTCCAGTTGCGCCGTGTGCCAGCAGCTTCAGCTGCCGCCCACTACCTCCTCTCCTCTCATAGTCTCTTTCCTCCTCCTCACTTGCCCGTTGTGACTACCACTAGCTTTGCTCATAATTGTGAACTTTAAACTATTGCTTCTTGAACTTGTGCTCAGAATGTGTGGTGACATTGTGATCCACCCTGGGCTTGTACTGCTTTGCTTGCTCTGCTGATTACACCCCACTTTGGCTATGGGGGTGTGTCAGAATATTATGCTCTAGCCTGTAGTGGGGTGCTCTATAGCGAGTACAACCCTTCTAGGGTTTGCTATTTGTATCCCCATTCTTTCTAGTGCAACCTCTCTCCCTCTTTCACCTAAACTATCGTTTGCCTAGCTAGGGCTTTCCTAGCTTAGGCTCCTAAGACGACCTCCTGTTCTCACAGCTGCCACTCATCGAATTCGCATACAACAACGCCCCATCCGCCACGACCCAACAGTCACCGTTTTACTTGAACTACGGACAGGATCCAACAGTACCCATGACCCCGAATCCCGACAACCCGGTTCCACGTGCGCAACAGTTCGCCGAAATTTTGCAAGCGGCACGGACCAGGGCAGCAGATGCGATTAAAAAGGCTAACATCATCGCTAAACGCAACGCCGACCGCCACCGCAGACCTGTCACTTACCAGCCCGACGACTTAGTTTTGTTCGACACCCAAAATCTCCGACTGCCCGTCACCCCGAAACTCCGCCCCCGATATTGCGGGCCATTTCGCATAAGCCACATGATCACACCTGTCACCGCCCACCTCCTCCTCCCTGCTGACTGGTACGTCAGCCCCTCGTTCCACGTCAGCCTGCTTCGCCCTTACGTCCCGTCCACGAGCCAACTGCTATGCAATCGCCCAGCCAGCATGACACGACCGCCGACTGAACCAATCATCACCCCCGAAAAAATCCTCAGCCACCGAGTTCGTGACCTTCGAGGAGCCCGAAGGATCGAATTCCTGATTCGCTGGAAAGACCGTACACCCACCGAAGATAATTGGGTTCCCTTGGACAAAATCGAAAACCACCCCACCCTCACCGAGTATCTGCGCAGCCGAAATTCCAGGGACGTACACGCACTTTCGTAAGGGGGGGGGGGGGGGGGGGGGGGGGGGGTAGTGTAAGGAAAATCTCCTTTTCCTTACTTCGCATCCCTGCTCAACGCGTACATCACTGCAGCACCACAGTCAGCACTGTTACCACTCGCCCCCCTCGCATCGACAATCCGCCCGCCACTTTCGCACGTCGCACCCCGACCTCACGGCTCGGTTGGTAACCCGCGCTCCGGACCTCCGCCTCGACACTTTTCCCAACCTCAGTCCCAGGCCTGTCGCGCGACAACCACAGTCCATTACCGTTACCACTGTAGTTTCGCTATATAATCCTTCGCTCATGCCTTCGCTGATCGTACTCTTGCTTCGATAGTGCAATTCTCGTTCGTTCACTCGATTGCACTCGTAACAACGTCAAATTGGGAATGGAGCAGAATTTGTCAATGTATTCAAATTCCTGTCACATGTGGTCGTTGCGCTGTAAGACAGCCATTTATCTGCGCGTCACTGTACCTAACTGATTCTTAGGACGCGTCACCTCTTTCTTCAGGAGGGCGATCGATCGTGGACACGATCGGTGTGTCGGGTCTACAGTGCTTTCGCGATTTGACGAATTATTTTGTTTCCATGTTTCGGCGAGATTCGAGAATGTACAGTATACTGGTCACCACGAAGGTGTCACCTAGGGCTCACGCGAAAGGCCGGCGATCGAGCCTGCAGTTGTGGGAATCGGGCAATTTTGCCCCATGAATTCAAAATCTTGTCACCTGTGGCTCAGTGGGGCCCCGCGATCGAAAATTTGCAGTTGGGCACATTGATATGCACACCGATCATGGCAGGTTCGGTGTTTAGCGTCGATTCTGCCTCGATCCTGCCAGTTTAGAAAGAGGTGACGCGTCCTTAGCAAGGATGAGGCAGTATCAAATGAAGAGCATGCCGCTTCATCCACCTCGATTTTGTCACTGGCGGTTCCACTGTGCTTCCACCGAATTTCGTGATTGAATGAAGCTACGACTGGCGGGCGGTATGACTAGAGTGAAGCGGGCTCTTGTATCGAGCATCCACGTCAACTGAAGTGGGGTCCCTGAAATTTGCTTCCACATTTCAGAAAACTGACTCGAACGGCTCATCGTGGCGATCGCCTGGTCCCAGATCCGATCGTCCAATGAAACGAGGGTTTGCTGGCACCGTCTCGTTTGATGGTCCGGGCCTCGACTAACCATGCGGTTCGGATGTGGTTCGGAAGCGTTACTACTGGACAACCAATACGTGTCGAAGCGAATTTGACGCTCGGTAGGTTGAAAAGTGGTTGGTTTGTTATGTAGTTTGGTGAAATAGAGGACAGCATGCGCAACCACGAAGAGGGATTGGACAGGTTGCGGGCAAGTCGAGGCAGGTGCGGCTTGGTTGGCCCGTCCGACATCAGACCAAGTCCAGCGGGCGTTGTTGCATTGGCTTGGTTCGTTCATGTCTGTTGCCCACCCAACCGTTTGAAATTAGCGTTTAACCATTCTATAACAGAAAACAAATCGTTGAACCGCAAAGAAACGCTGGCCTTACAAGACATTACACGAGCCCGCCGCACCTGGTGCCTTCCGTCATTCGCTGGATAACATATATGCTACATGCCCCATATGAAGCAACCATGCCAGTATCATGTAATTTGATTGATCCTTGCCTGCAGTATCGTCAAACATATGGTCAGTTTGGTTGCACGCGTTGGAAATGCAACGCATTCTGCTCGCTTGTTCCATTCTGTAGGCCCCCGTCGCGCGCTTGTTCCAGCCTCGCTTCCTGCTCGTGGCGTCCTCGCCGCTACGCTGACGTGTGATTTCAGCGGCTCGGCAGTCCGTCGCCCAGCCGCCAGTCTCTTCGATACGAGATGTTAGAGTCAACTCGATCTAGAATCATCCCTACTAGAAATTAGTAATTTCTCTGCTCCCTCTCCATCGACCACCAGTCGCCAAAACCCAGGGCTGGAACGGGTCTGGCTGGCCTGCCCTGGTCGCATGACACGCGCGGTGCGGTGCGCGAGCATTACGATGTTGCCTGTCAAGAAGCATAAGCGTTATCTGCACCCTGTTTTACAATTCCATCCTAGCCGCCTTCTTATCTAGCTTCTCTACCTCTCACATCTTCCTAGTGTCAACATTGCTGCTAGTCCTCGTCATTGCGCTCCTCTCATAACCTGAAGCCATGCCCCTCCGCGAGTCTTATTCCACCCCCCGTTCCACCTTTCAATATCTTTTGAAGCGCCTCCTAAGCAGCCTGATAGTTTGAAGCGATGGGGCCCTTTTTTTTCCATTTAATGGATGCTTGAGCTCTGATCGGATTGGGAAAGTCGAGAAAGTAGAGTAAGAGGTGCTGACGTGGATCGTTCCCGTTTAGTGTATCCAACCAGAGCAGACCCAATCAAGCAGACCCCGTAGTATGCGTTCTTACCTCCGTGCCCACGCGAGAATGAAAGAGCGCGCAACTTCACTGTCTGCAAGAGCACTCCTCCGGCCGTTACGGCGCGCCGCCTCGCTCCTCCTCTTCCTACACCTCCACCTCGCCTCCTCCGCGTTCCTCGGTCTCGCGCGCGCTAATGAGTCGCTGGATGCTCTCGAGGCGCGCGAGGCTGCCGAGCCTATAGATGCTACCGAGCCGCCGGTCAACGCGCGAACTCCACTCGATGCTCGCAGCTCCCTTGATCATGCTCCCGCCGAGCGCAACAGCCCTTCCGCGGGCATCGGCTCATTTGCGGGGAATGGCTCCTTTGCGGGGAGGGGCTCGTGCGCGTCCGCGTCCGCTTCCGCCTCCGCTTCCGCTTCCGCCTCCGCTTCCGCCTCCGCCTCCGCCTCCGCCTCCGCTTCCGCCCTACCTGTGGTGGTGTGGCACGGGTTCTTCGACTCGTGCCGCAACGACAAGAGCGTGGGGTATCTGCGCGCCGCCGTGCGGAGCGTGCTTCCCGACGTGTTTTTCCACTCGATATGCGTCAAGGAGGAGGGCGTACGCGATATAACCTCCTCCATATTCGGCTCTATTGACCAGCAGGTAGCGATATGGAAACAACATAGCGGTGGCGAGTGATAATTGGGTTCAATAATGCTCGCCCTAAACAGACAAAAAACGACGTGCCAGGCAACAGGGGAAGTCATACGAGACAAAAGTCATACGTGCAGTGCTTCCCCCCTCTTCCCCCTCTCCCCCCCACCCCCCCAACCCCCCAACCCTTCCCCCTTCTCCTTTACCCACTCTTCACCATCCCCCTCCCCTTTGTTCCCCTCTTCCTACAATCTCCCCCCTCTTTCTCTCCCATCGCAGATCGACGAGGTCTGCGCGTCGCTCGCCGCCATTCCGCAGCTCGCGGGGGGATTCAACGCCATCGGCATCAGCCAGGGCGGGCTGCTCTTCCGCGCGTACGTGCAGCGCTGCAACTCTCCCCCCGTGCGCACGCTCATCACGCTCGGCTCCCCCCACGCGGGCATGGCGGCGCTGCCTTACTGCGGCCCGAGCGATCCGAGCAGGGAGTTTAAAGCGGAAATCAATCATGGTGGGTGCATGCGGGGTGGAGATGATGATGACTTGGCGGCAAACACCACGTGTGGTGCCAGCGTGGCAGCGGACTGGGAGGGGGAAAGCTCGTGGCATGAGGAGGAGGGGGAGGAATCAGGCGGACTCAGTAGTCTAGGAGGGGTTGGCGTGTCGGCTTTAAGAGTGCTTGCATCTAGCAGCAACGGCCTTAGCGGCTTTAGCGGCGGATTAAGCGGACTCAGCAGCGGCTCGAGTAGTCTAAGCGGTTTTAGCAGCGGTCTGATTAGCTTTAGCGGAGGTATCAGCGGCGGAAGTTTCGCTGGAAGCAGCGAAATTGCAGGGAGCGTGACTTGGGCGGTGCTTAGCGGCCTAGGGACGGCAATAGACTTCTGTACACTTTTTAAACCGCATATGCATCGAATTTACCTGCCCTGGGTGCAAAAGTTTTTCATGCCCGCGCAGTACTTTCGGCTCTGGAGGCACATGGATCGGTACTTGCAGCGGAGCGCGTTTCTCGCGGATATCAACAACGAGCGCGGCCCGACGAGACGGAATGAGACGTACGCTGCGAACGTACGGAGCTTGGATCGGTTCGTACTGGTGCGATGGGAAGATGAAACAATGATCTCGCCTCCCCAGTCATCGGTGCGTTACAAGTCAGTGCGTGTTTCGTTCTAACGCGGAAACATCTAGCCCTTTCTCAATGCACGCATCTCCCCTCCCCTCGTGCAATGCGAGCGAGCTTTCTTTACAATCACTTCCTCCTCAACCCAACCAACCCCCTTCCCCCAATCCCCCTTCCTGCTTTCAGCTTTGCCCCCTTCCCCACCTCCCCAACTTCCCCTCCTTTCCAAGTCCCCCTGCTTTTTCCCCCTCCCCCAAACTCCCCCATCCCCAAACCTGCTCCGCCAGTGGTTCTGGCCGCATGACCGCCTAGGGAATCTGCTCCTGTTACCCCAACCCCCCCTCCCTACTTTTCCTCCCCATCCCCTCCTCCCCAACCTTCCCCTCCTTCCCAACTCCTCCCCTTGACCCAACCTCCCTCATCCTCCAAAATACTCCGCCAGTGGTTCTGGTCGCACGACCGCTCCGGTAATCTGCTCCCGTTACAAGAGCAGCCGATGTATGCAGAGGATTGGCTGGGGTTGCGGACCCTGCACGAGAAGAAAAAGCTGCATTTCACCACCATGCCTGGCTCTCATGTGAGATTGCCAGCAGAGAGTACTGAAAATTACTTGTGACATTTGAATGCATGTGCTGCTTCTTTGATTGCATTTAGTCTTGCACGTACATTGTTTGCACTGTATCATGCTTTATTAAGCTCCCACTCACTCTGTGTGAAGCCTGCACTCACTCTGCCTATTCAGTGATTGCTACTTGTCCATCCACCACCCCATTGATGTCTGGTTCATAATGCTGCATGATACGGTAACCATCCCTGCCTGCTAACACTATGTCTGCATCTGCTTGTGTCCCTACAACCATGTGTAATCTGGTATTAACATTTCTGCATCCACATGTGTGAATGTTACCTTTGCATCCATTCGCAGGGCATCATCAACCCCTCCCTCTTTGCTCGTGAGTTCGTTGCCAAGTACCTCGTTCCTGAGCCAACCAAAGCCGTTGCGTAAAACTCATTGAAAGTGATAAGCTGATGCTCATATCAGCTGCGCGTTAAGTCCTCCTATTGGTAAGGAACTCTCACCATCTCGTTGGAGTTCCTCAGCCAGCTGCTTCAAGATGTGAACCGCATGTCCAGCATTTGTGCAAATGAGCTAGGCAGACGACATTGCGAGTTGCAGGCGCAGCAATCATTAGCATAGATAGTGCATGCTGGAAATAATTTTAACCATTCTGTAGGAGATCTTGGGGTATGGAGGTGCAGGAATAGAAGGATGCCACCTCAGCATCTTCAAGTGGCACTAGATTATTTAGCTTAGGTGAACTTGGCAAGTGTGGTACATTGTGAAAATTAACATTACCCAGTGTTGGGTTGCGACTCTATGTTCGTGGTTTCACTAGTACCCAATCATTTGTAGTGTTTGGCGCACCCTTGCTTTTGTTACCAGTAATTTATATGCTAAATATTGTATTTCGTCGCTGATGCAGTACATGCATATTTGTTTTACCCTATTAGGAGTTGAGAAAACACTTCGTAGGTTACCTGCCAGTGTGCGTGGGTGCTTGTTCGGCTACAAAAAGCTCAAGGCGAACGCGGTGGCTGGCACAGATGGCGGCCCAAGGCATCCACCGTCACAACTGGTGGTCCTAGTGATGATCGAGGCGCGTTTGGGGGCTAGCTAGCCTGTCACATGCGACACGATGCGCTATTGTGAACGCGACTTGGCTGACCTCGCACGTTTCGCACACGTGCTGCGTTGTCCATCTGTACGACGCCATCCAGCGACTCACCGACTTCAGTTGAAGTCGCAGACGGGTGCAACCGAGGAACTACGTTTGGCATTTTCAGTTCAGTACAGTGGACATTCGTCGCACAACGTGACTGTTTGCTGACGCCTGTCGGTTCCAGCCGTCAGCTAGTCCATCCATCCATTCCGTCGCCGCCTCATTTGAACCGAACTTGACGGAGCGGCGCCCTGCTGCGCCCTCGAGCATGGACAATGGCAAGACGGAGGGCGACGCGAAAGGATCACATCAAGGGAAGTGTTACGTTTCAAGCGTTGACACGCGGTACTAATGGAACACGTAGTGTTTCAAAGAGGTGTTAAACGGAGAGTACCAGGGCACAAGACATTTGTTGTGCTATTTTGGGAATGGTTGGGTTCAGCAAGTTTTTCCGCTAAGCTGGGCACGTATAACTCTAGGAAGAAATGGCGGGAGGGGAACCATTGGAGTTTGATGAACAGATATCGAGGAACTCACACCGATTCTCGAGCTTCGTTTTTAGCTTAGTACTGGAGTTCCATTTTTCTAGCCTTGGGTAGTACATTTGGATAGCAACCTAGCTTCAAGAAAGTATGTCGCGATCTGATTCTACGGGCACAAATAATCCAGGCGTTTAGTCGCATTTGACTCACCTGTCGCAAGTCTCCTCATCACAAGACAGCCGAAATTTCTCTAGAACGACTCGTCACTCGCTCCACTGTCAATTCTCCGTGAGGGGACTCCTCCGTCGTTCCGTCACTTGACGATTGACCGTCAGTCGGAGGAGCAGCAGCAGTACTAGACATAATGGCCACTGGAATGTACATGGACACGCGGCTGCAGCAGCAGTTCTGGGGCTATGGCGGCTACTCGCAGCGCGATATCTACTCGCAACGCGATCTTTACGAGCCTCCTCCGCCGATCCCCAACCCGAGTCCCCCCATCGGCCGCCTCGCGCGTCCCCCGCTTCTCGTCATTCCGCCGATCGTTCCCGCTCCGCTCACCCCCACCCCAGTCGCGCTGATGCGGGAGATTGAACGCTACAACCGGAAGAAGAACGTGGAAAGGGCGGAAAAGCTCGCGGCCGATCGCCCCGCGGGTCCCCCCGTGCGCCCGCGCAGGCGGAGGGTTTGGGACGACATGTTCTTCGACCTCCCCCCGACGCCCCCTCCCCGCCGCGCGTCTGCTCCCGCCGCGCCCGTCACCCACGTTACTCCGTCCGAGCCACTTCAGGTCGTCACCGCTAGTACCGCGCCCGCGCCTAGCACTGCTAATACCGCGACTAATACTGCACCCGTACCTGTCGTTCGCGCTGCTCCGTTGAAGCCGCTTAAGGAACTCAACGGCACGCTTCCACCGCCACTGCCGCTGACACTCTCCACATCGAACGTCGCATCAAGCACGCTCGTTCCATTGGACGGCAAGGCGGCGAGAACGCACAAGCTGTTACCCGTCTCTGCGAATCAACCTTCGTTCAGGACGTGGCTGGGGAACGAGGAGAATGCGACGACGGCGATAGCCGTGCGACCGAGGGATGTCTGCTGCGAACCAGCATCGCAGGTGCCATCTGCGGAGCTTCGCATCGATATATCGTCGCTTGGCGGCGCTGCTGCTGCTGGCGCTGCTGCTGCTGCGACTGGATTATTCTGTGCTGACGTTGGAAGCGCCTCGGCTCACACGTCACTCCAGGTCGGTTCGGTTGCCATCGCTATAGCCTGATCCGTTACAGAGCACGTCAAAGACTCCGTTACAACCTGCACTGTGAAGCCCAGATGTTCACAGCGTGACGGCCGCTGCACGCGGGTGAGGTGGTCCTTGAGGCGCCCCTTGTCGAGACTTATATCGGGGGATGAGCCCCTTCCAGGGCGCCTCAAGCACCACCTCGTTTGCTCCACTTTCTTAAAACGAGAGACTTCAGAAATAGCATCTTTTTATGATTTGCACACTAGCAATAGCCTCCTCCCTGTTTCTTTTAGCTTAGATCATCAACGCTGATGTATGTGCGAGATTAATGAAAACTTATTTCTGCCCATTCCTGCCTTCTGTCCGCAACTGCTGCCTGTACAGGAGAGTTTCTTATCGAGTCCTGGAACGTCAGCTATGCCAAATGCTGCTGCTGCTGCTGCTGCTGCCACTGCTGCAAAGAAGCATCACAGGGAACCGTTGGCATGCTCTGTCGACTTGCAAGCCCTTGGTTCGCTCCTCTGCTCCTGCCTCTCCGCTCTGCGGCTTAACACGTTGGGGGATAGCTCAGAGAGCCAAAACTCCGAGGGTCAAAGCTGGAAGGAGGGAGATGGGACAGCCGTACCTGCAGCTGTGACTGCAACTGCAACTGCGACTGCAACAGCAACAGGAGCAGCTGTTATGTCAGCAGGGCTGAAGGATATGCTGTTGGTGAATGCAAGAGGGCAGGAATGCGAGAATGTGAGGGTTAAGGGAGAGGAGGGAGGAGGCGAAGTTTCAGAGTGGGAGGAGATTCCAGTTTCTCTGCGCCTGCAACCCCAGCGTCCACTGTCCCCGCTTGCGCCACTGCAATCCCCCATTTCAGCTGCCTCAGTACAAGCACTTGTGCCGCTGATGTTCCAACCACCGTTGATTTTACCGGGCTCTTTGCCATCTGGGAAGGCGATGCATCTTGGCCGTCGGTGGAGCCCCTCGTCTGTTCTGGCCTCACATTCGCCTGCCTCCGACACTTCATCGTTAGAGGGAAGGACTCCTTTCACAGAGGAAACGCGTTGAGGAGGGTCGAGTTGGATTTGATGCAGTGATGAGTGGTCGTCTGACCTTGCATCAGATTCATTTGCCTTGAACACATTTTCGTTGGAGGGCAGTCACTGGGTAAAGAGGAAACAAGGTGAGGAGGACTGAGAGGGTCTGAAGCGGTCTGAAGCGGCGATAACTGGTGATGCGGAGAGGTGCAGTGGCCGGGCCAATCCGACCAGAATTTGACGTCACTTTCAATAACATTTGAGGCGCAAAACAGCTACCGGTATACCAACTTGATGACTCTCTCTAGGTTCTGGAGTCTTTAGATTGATATGGTAGACCATGAAGCATACCTCGTGCTTGATATAGAGCAGTGTACTGTTTTCGCAGTATTGGTGATAATGGCAATCGTTTGGTAAATGCATTTCAAGCTACTTAGTTAAGACATCGTAAGGTGGAACTTCAGCAAGCAATTCAAACTTCCATTGGAAAGTCTTTCAGCCGTATAGCGAGGATAATCTCCTCCCGCTCATCACCCGTTGATTTGCCACACCCAAATTCCTTTTGGCTGTCCCATTCCGCCCTGCCACGTCAGCCATCCTCCCCATGATCGCGCATTCCCAGCTTGCCGCAATCAGCGGCGTCAGCACCGCAGCCAGCGCGACCATCCCGTGCCGCTGTGCGCGGCGACATTCGCCTGGTTTTATTCTCCAGCGATGGGTTCCTGGATTCTCACCGCGCATTCCGGTGCATCTCGACGCGCAGTTCGCTAAGCCGACTCGGACAATTTCGGTGCAAGCTCGAGCTCGAGCGTCGCTCCCTAACACCGATAAAGCTTCCGAATTCGGTACATCTTCACGCTTGATTTTGCAACAGGTTAACTTGGACGGCTCAGATTTCACCACGCCAGAGCAGCTAGTAGCGGATGGCCTCCTCTCGCGACGTTCTCTCGTGGCGCTCTCATCCGCCGCACTTACCGCTTCCCTACTCGCACCGCCCTCCACGTCAGCTTCCCCGGATTCCACGTCACTCTCGCTAGGCCCTGCCGTAATCCCCCCGTGCCCTCCGGGTTCTACAGTGGAGATTCAAATTGGGGATAACTGCGGTCTTGGAGTCGCGATTTATCCCGATTTTAGCTACAGCCCCGGCGGTGTCAAGGGGGGAGGCGGCTCGGGAACCGCGACGGATTTAGACGACGGGTCGGATCGCGTTGAGATCGTTTTCGATCCCCAGACTCTAAACATCCCCCCGTTGCAGTACGACACGACGCGGTTCCTCGGGCTTCCGCTTCCCCCGCCGCTTAAGATTGAGATCGCTCCTGCGGCGCTAAGGGGCTATCTTGAGAGGTCGACCGGCAAGGTAGGCCTGGGAGCCCTTAGATTATTCTAAGCTTTTTGGTTCATCTCTGCGACAGGTGCGGCACTAGTGTATTTACTTGTTTTTGCCATTTTTCTTGGGAGTTACCTCAACTCGTTTAACTAATCTGTTTGAGGGCCCGGTTTGAAGCTTCTGCTTATGTTCTTTTGGGGGTTGGCTCAAAGCTTTTTGGGGATCCCATTGGGAGTTAGCTCCAGACGTACCTTTTTAAGAGATGGCTCAAAAGGCTAGGTTTTTTTGGAGATGACTCGTCTATAGCGGCTGTGATGTGGTGGGAGGGTGGATGGGGCTGAAATGAAGGAAGAGGTGGGATTTTGTAATGAAGAGGAGTGGTTCTCCAAGCAAAGAAGAGGGACAAGGGGAAGAAGGGGAGACGTGTTCGTGCTGTTGTGGGGCCCATAACGTAGAGGTTCAATTTGGCATAGGAAATTACCGTATGAATTTGCAGGCGAGGAAATATCTGCTCTGCATAAATTGGCAGGGTTATTTGACATGTTAAGTACTGACTTTACATCGTTTCCCCTGATCCATGTTCACTAACCCTTCCCTACCTCCATTCCCCGCACACCCCTCTTTCAGGTGGAGCTTACCTTCATCTCTAAATTCTTCTTCACAGCAGGACTCATCTACACTGCACCACCGCTTACTGTAGAAACCATCTTAACCACAGAAAACTCTGCTGGCCCCATGCGTTCGGCAAACGGCTCAAGGGTAGATTCATCGGGGAAATGTATTCTAGTGGGAGTAGCGCGTGTGCCTCCTGTCAACGACTCCTTTCTGGACACTTTCTTGATGCTCCCCACGGACGTTCTCGCCGTTTTGCCAGCAGAGCTTAGGTTCAAGCCAGCGGCTAGTGCATAGGATTGCTGGAGTTTTGATTACATGTATTTTTATGAATCCTCTTTTTGAAATAAATATGTTGGTTTGACACTGTATAGAGAGTTTTTTTGGTAGACGCCGACAACGCCAAAGTAACGGTTCTAACTGAATTGCAACTTCCAGGCCCGACCTGAACAGTAACCGTCCCCCTCGCCTCACTTTTCGACCGAACCAAACCTGTACGACGCGCAGCGGACAGAAAGCCTCTGGTCTGGGCATTACCCTCAGTAAAATCACTCCTGCCCAAACCTCATTTACAGCTCCGTCATTTACCCAACCAAATTGCAGCAGCAGGGTCACCCAAACTTGCCATGCTGTACCGTACCTGCTCTCAATACCTCCTCGCCTTGTCCATCTCTTTCAATCGCTTTGCACTGTCCTCGATGTTACCATAGCCATGGATTGTTTCCGCGATGAAATATTTGCGACTACACGTATCAGTAGGCTGTGCGAGTCAGGTCGGCATTGCATCAACTAAGATAAGAGCAAAGAGCCTTTCTCCTAGGGAAACCGTACCACTGCACTATGCATGCTCGAAGGCGAACCAATCCGGCATGTCGGTCCCATCTCCTCCTTGCGATTAGCTCTCTGCGAAGAACTGCGGGTGGGGTGGGGAGCAATGCGAAGCAGCAGATGTTTTAAAGTCTTTCGCACCTGCATCTTATAGTCTTGAATGCTGATAGTTGCTGAAGTTGGTATTTTAACAGTTTCTCGTTCGAGGAGCGTTTAGGGATTTTTTTTTTTTTTTTTTTTTTTTTTCCGTGCTGTTTTCGGCTTTTCGGTTTACGGTTTCGCTGTCGTAGCGGATGATATTGCCAGCGCATAATCACCATGCATAAGGTACGCAAGGTCGTAAAATCATTTTGTCCCTTAACCTTCACTTTTCCAGCCGTATAATTTCTATAGGTATAGTCTTCTCTGTACTTGACCCATTGCAATGCGCTAGTCCTCTGTGTTCATTATTTTTTCCTTTCTCGTCCGTTATGATACTCGACATCAATCTCGTAAGTGAGTTGGCTCAAAACTGTTATTCCGTTTACATCTGTCAGGATACTCGACAACGACCTGGTCCCGTACGGGGCGGGCCCAGCAACAATTCCTGGGACGAAGATGACGACATGCCACGTGCGCTTCCCTCTCTTCCACATCATCAGCCACGTCAGCTTCTCCGTCCAGAATTGCAGCAGCAGCAGCAGCAGCAGAAACAGCAGCAAACACGGCAGGCTCCCCCGTTACAGCCACGTAGACCCCAGGCTTCGTTAGAAGAACTTCCGCCCTCCCGCGGAAAGCAAAACTCTAGAGACGCGTACGACGCGAACGAACAGTACGAACCGCGTTACTCGAACCAGCGCGATTCGCGGGATATGCGGGAGCAACAACCGTACGATCGAAACAACTGGCAAAGAAACGCGCCGGTGCCAGCTCAGCAGCGACAGAGCGGCGGCGGCTCGGTTCCGTACAGGCGTCCGGTCCCCCAGCCTGAGTCTGAAACGGAAACTGAAACAGAGGTGGAAACGGAGGCTGAGACGGAAACGGAATTTGAGACGGAGGTTGAGACGGAAGTTGAGACGGAGGTTGAGACGGAGGCGGAAACAGAGGTGGAGGAGACGGAAACGGAATTTGAGGAGGATGAAGAGGAGGAAACGGAAGTGGAGGAAGGGGAGGGGGAAGGAGAGGGAGAGGAGGAGGCGGAGGAGGAGGATAAGGAGAACATTCTAGAGCAAGTGTCAGAACTGCTGAGCCAGGTGAGCAAGTGGGTGAAATATTTAGGTTAGAGACTGGTTGAGGAGGGTTGAACAGGGTTTGGTTCGGTTGAGGAGGATAAGGAGAACATTCTAGAGCAAGTATCGGAGCTGCTGAGCCAGGTGAGCAAGTGGGGGGTATCTTTGACGAGACCGTTTGAGGATGGTTGAGGGCGGTTGACGAGGGTTCAGGCCGAATGCGCACTGCCCACTCCCGCTCCAGGACGGCATGCTAGACAGACGAATTCCAGCCGGTGGCGAACCTGCTGCTGAACGCGAGGAAGGTGCTGGCGGATTGTTTTGGAGAATTCTCAAAACCAACCTCCAGGACGGCATGCTGGACAGACGAATTCCAGCCGGTGGTTGTTCTGCTGCTGAACGTGAGGAAGGTGCTGGCGGAGTTGCGGGGGATATGATACGAGTACTCGTTTATTGCTCTTCCCCTGCCTTCCTCCCTCAGATCGAGGCAATGATAGCAGCAGGGCCTCATGGGAAGCTAGACGAGTACCTCCCAGTGGTGGATCTGCTGCTGAACGTGAGAAAGGTGCTGGTAGATGTGGGGGTGGGGGATGCATGCAGGGGAGCTCCTCCCTCTCCCTTGTCTCTCGGGCAACGAACGAACCCCTCAATCCCTCCCGCCCATTCCCCCTCCACCTGCAGATCGAGGCAATGGTTGCAGCAGGACCTCGTGGAAAGCTAGACGAGTACCTGCCAGTAGTAGACCTGCTGCTGAACGTGAGGAAGGTGCTGGTAGAGGTGGGGGAGAAGGAGGAGTAACCCGACAGCCCTCTTCTAATGCTCTTCTCCTCCCTTCCTCCCTCAGATCGAGGCAATGATTGCAGCAGGGCCTCATGGCAAACTAGACGAGTACCTGCCAGTGGTGGACCTGCTGCTGAACGTGAGGAAGGTGCTGGCGGAGGTGGGGGAGAAGGAGTCGGGGCGGAGGGCGGACATGCTGCTGAGAACGGCCATGGAGGATTTGGACTACGAACTGAGAGACATCCTTAAGAGACGCAGGTGAGACGGGGGGCAAGAAAAAAGTTAAGTATGGTCCATGGGAGGGCTGACATGCTGCTGCGGACGGCCATGGAGGATTTGGACTACGAATTTAGAGACATTCTCAAGGCGCAGGTGATGAAGGGGTGAGAAGAGAGTATGTACGTAAGTGGTGAAGTGAACCCAGGCTTCTGGGGTACCAAGGGAGGAGGGGGCGGACATGCTAATGCGGGCAGACTACGAACTAAGACACATTCTTAAGAGGCGCAGGTGTGATTTTGGGGGCTAAGGTGTTCGGTGAGTGAGAGCAGGGTACTGCATTCGTTTGTTGGCCAGCAAGCAAGCCTCCCCAATGTCTCTTACCTTTTCTCCCGCTTATGTTCCTTCCCTCCCCTCCCCCCTCTGCCCTTATTCCCCAAAAAACAAGCCTCCGCCCGCTTCAGTGTAGACGAGCTGAAGAGGCTGTTCCAGGCGGAGTTCCTGCACGTGCTCCCACTCCCCCTTACCACCCCGTCCCTCCCACCCCCCCTTACCACCCCGTTCCCCCCACTCCCCCTTACCACCCCGTTCCCCCCACTCCCCCTTACCATTCCCCCCACCCCCTCTTACCACCCCGTTCCCCCCACTCCCCTTTACCATTCCCTCCACCCCCCCTTACCACCCAGTTCCCCCCCACTCCCCCTTACCATTCCCCCCACTCCCCCTTACCACCCCGTTCCCCCCACTCCCCCTTACCATTCCCCCCACTCCCCCTTACCATTCCCCCCAATCCCCACCCCACCGCTTCTTTCCAACGCCTCCCCGCAGCAAGCAAGCTTCTGCGCGCTTCAGTGCGGAAGAGCTGAAGAGGCTGTTCCAGGCGGAGTTCCTGCACGGGAGTGGGGAGGCAGCAGCAGGGGAGGGCGGGGAGGAGAAGACGGAGGGCAGGGGGAGCAGGGAAGGGAGAGGGGCGGATGGGGAGGATGGGAGCCTTTTGAGCCCAGGGGAAAGGGGGGAGGAGAGGGGGGAACGGGGGAGAGAAGGGAGGAGGGAGGGGAGGAGGGAGTCTGAGGAGGGAAGGGATGAAGGGGACGAGAAGGGCGGTGGGGGGGATGAGGAGGAAGGGAGAAGGAAGGGGGGGAGGAAGGTTCCTGAGCTGTTTCCTGTGAGCACGGGGCGGTGGTTGAATGAGGCGGCAGGCAGGATGGTGCAGGGAGGGGCGGGAGGAAAGTGCGTGGAAGCTTACAGGTCTGTGCGGGTGGAGGCAGTTAAAGCCCTAATGGATGAGCTGAGGCTGGAGGACGTGCTGAGCCCGGGAGTGATTCATGAGGCGCCGTGGAGGGTGCTGGAGCAGGCGTCAAAGGAGTGGGTGCAGGCAGCTTATATCATTGTAAGCATGTCTCGATTGTAAGCAGCACATAAGGCTGAATGATTGATGTTCTGCGAGAGCATGCCTGGAGTGGAGTGAGGGAATGGAGCGGCTCAAGGGAGGGTGCTTCACGAGGCTATTTGGCGAGTGCTGGAGCAGTCGTCAAAGGATTGGGTGCAGGCGGCTTATATCATTGTAAGTCTGTCAGGCTGCACGTATCATAATGCTGAGATTCTGCTAAAATGTACCGTGAGTTAGGGTCTGTAGAGTCGCAGTGGCAGGGTGGTGATTCACGAGGCTCCTTGGCGGGTGCTGGAGCAGGCGTCAAAGGAGTGGTTGCAGGCTGCATACTTCATTGTAAGCATGTCTGCACATAAGGGAGTGGAGTGGAGTGAGGGTACGAGGTACGAGGTAGGGTGGGTATGTAAGGGAGGTTCCTTGTAAGGGAGGGTACGTAGATAGTAGAGGTACGAGTGCTGGAGCATGCTGTGCTGCTGTATGCTAGAGCATGCACTTACAGAGATGAGACGAGGTGGGAGGCCCTTGAATGGTGTTGTGGGAGTTTATCCTCTCTATTGCAATCCCCCTTTCTGTGCAGAAAGCGTTGATAATCCCCATGGAGCATCAGACGGCCAACGAGGCGTGGAAGGGCACGGAGAACACTCAGAAGCGGGAGATGCAAAGGTTCTGCATGTGTCTCTGATTCCCTGACTGCTTCCCCCACTGACCCCTGACCATGCCCCTTTGGTGCAGGGAGCACGAATTATTCCCGTGGAGCATGAGACGGCCAACGAGGCTTGGAAAGGCGTGGATGGGCACGCAGAGAGGTGGGAGGTGCTGTGTGTATTTACCTTCCCTGTTGCACTCCCTGCCCTATTGGTCTCCTCGTTTCGTGCAGGGAGCATGAATAATCCCCATGGAGCATCAGACGGCCAACGAGGCGTGGAAGGGCATGGATGGACACACAGAGAGGCGAGAGGTGTTTTTGGTGTGTAGTTACCTTCCCTATTGCACTCCCTGCCCTATTGGTCTCCTCTCTTTGTGCAGGGAGCACTAATAATCCCCATGGAGCATCAGACGGCCAACGAGGCTTGGAAGGGCATGGACACTCAGAGGCGCGCCGCTCTACGGGGCGTCCTAGAGGACGGTGGCGTTGGCCGGCGGGTTTTGTTTCTAGCGGACGTGCTGCGGGCGATCGTGTCGCGGCGCATGGCGGAGCAGCTGTTCTCGCTGCTGGACGCATACCAAGTGGTGCAAGAGATCATGCCTGAGGTATGTGTGTGTGTGGACAGAGTGTGCGTGTTATAAGGGATGTGACTGTAGGTGGTGAAGTGGCTGTAGGGGCTGAGTCGAATCCACATGGTAGAACAGCTGTTCTCGCTGCTGGACGCCTATCAAGTGGTGCAAGAGATCATGCCTGAGGTTGGTGGGTGGGTAGGAGGGTGGGTTTGTGTTGGGCATGTTGTGGTGTGATGTGGCTGTAGCTGGCAGGGTTGCAAAGAAGCAGCATGGCAGAGCAGCTGTTGGACGCCTATCGAGTGGTGCAAGAAATAATGCCCGAGGTGGGTGGGTGGTGTGGGTGGAATAGTCGTAGTTCTCGCTGCTGCTGGGACGGGCAGTGGCAGAATGTCCATCGCAATCCAGCGCCTCAAGCTTTCCCCCAACCTCCCTTCCTGCCAATGTTCCTTGTCCCACACCCCAGCTTGCTGCCACCTTCCAGGACCTGAAAGTGAGCAATGTGTGGGGGCGTGTGAGGGCCTGCCGCTGCTGCTGGGGCGAGCAGTGGCAGCGTGCTTCCGGCGTCTCAAGCTGCGGCTGCCCCCCCCACCCCAGCTCCCTTGCACAGACTCAAGCTGCGGCTGCCCCCCCCACCCCACCTCCCTTGCACAGACTCAAGCCGCGGCTGCCCCCCCCACCCCACCTCCCTTGCACAGACTCAAGCTGCGGCTGCCCCCCCCACCCCAGCTCCCTTGCACAGACTCAAGCTGCGGCTGCCCCCCCCACCCCACCTCCCTTGCACAGACTCAAGCTGCGGCTGCCCCCCCCACCCCACCTCCCTTTCACAGACTCAAGCTGCTGTTTGAAGGATTCCATTCGTGATTCCCATTTAAACCGTCCCATACCCGTATGTATCCGCACTTCCATCCCTGTGCTTACCCCCCAGCTGTCAGCCACCTTTCAGGATCTGAAGGTCAGCAACGTGTGGGGGGCGTGTGAGGGCCTGCCGCTGCTGCTGGGGCGAGCAGTGGCAGCGTGTTTCCAGCGCCTCAAGTTGCTGCTGGAGGACTCCGCTGCTTCTAACCTCGCTGATGCCATGTGGAAACCCGTTCCTGCCAAAAAGGCAGCCCTGAGGTGAGTGACTGACAGGACTGGACTGCTGAAGGTATGTGCTGGACTGACAGGACTGGACTGCTGAACTGGACCCTGAGGCGCCTCAGGTGAGAAGGTAAGTGCTGTTTGAATTGCGAGCAGTGGCAGCGTGCTTCCAGCGCCTCATGCTGCTTCTGGAAGATTTTGCAGCTTCTACCTTCGCTGATTCCATGCGGAAACCCGTTCCTGCGAAGAAGCCGGTGAGTGGTAGGAGCGGTGTTCTTTCTGTTAAAAAGGGCCTCACCTCAGAACACCTCAGAACACCTCAGAGCAGCAGCAGCAGCAGCGTGCTTCCAGCGCCTCAAGCTCTTACTCGAGCTGATGCTATGCGGAAGCCAGTTCCTGCCAAGAAGGCAGCTCTGAGGTGAGTGGTAGGGGAGAGTGGTGAACAAGATGAGTGGAGAGGCAGTGGCAGTGGCTGTGTAGTGTTCTGCAGCTGGACTAGCGAGAGCAGTAGCAGCAGCAATGCAACCAGCAACAGCAGCACGGCAGCGGCACCAGACGAGTCGGTGTATGAGATATAAAGTGATTCTCACCTTAACTCTCCTCCCCCACTTTCCTCCCTCTCCTCTTCTTCAGTTTCCTCACTTGCAGTGCCACCAGCAACAGCAGCACAGCGGTCACACCAGACGAGTCAATGTATGAGATCGGGCCTCGAGGGGGGCTGTGGACTCGATATATGGCCAACTGTAACCCTTCTCTCTTGCCCATGCTCCCCTGCAAATGCTGTTCTGCTGCCTTTCCCTCAGCTTCCTCACGCGCAGCGCAACCAGCAACAGCAGCACGGCAGTGGCACCAGACGAGTCGGTGTATGAGATCGTGCCACGAGGGGGGGCTGTGGATTCCATCACGAGCTATGTTGCCAACTATATCCGCAGCTACATGCAGCGGTGCGTGGAAAAGGGTGTGCTGGGGGGGAATTGGACTGAGATGAGGTGGGAAAAGATGGGTGAGTGGCAAGAGGGGGTTCTGTGGACTCAATCACATTTGCAGCTACGTGCAGCGGTGCATGGGTGGGAGAAGGGAAGGGGAGAACGAGAGGTTGGGGGCAAGAGAGGCCAGAGTGCCATGAGTGTGCCGTGCAGCGAGGAGGCGCTGTGGACTCGATCATGAGCTACGTGGCCGTTTTTCTGGAGGCCGATTTTGAGAATTCTCAAAATCTACCGCACAGCTGAACTAGTTTCTTCATCATCCTTTCCCCCTCTGTCCCTCGCTTTCGTCCTTTTCCTCTCTCCTTTTCTTCCCAACTTGTCTGCACAGGCAAGGAAGGCAAAGCTACGTTCTTTCCCTCACATCCCTCTTCTCCCTCCTCGAAGCACATCCAGACAAAGACCCCAGCTCCCTCGCAGCTAATTTCACCCTCCTCTCCCTCCCACAGCACAACTCAACCAATCTTTAATTCCTCCCCCACTCCGCATGCCCTTTACCTCCCCCACTCCGCATGCCCTTTACCTCCCCCACTCCGCATGCCCTTTTCCTCCCCCACTCCGCATGCCCTTTTCCTCCCCCACTCCGCGTGCCCTTTACCTCCCCCACTCCGCATGCCCTTTTCCTCCCCCACTCCGCATGCCCTTTTCCTCCCCCTCCTCTTCTTTCCGCCGCCTTCCCAATAAACCTGTACAGGCAAGGAAGGAGGAGCTATGTCGACTCCCTCACATCCCTCTTCTCCCTTCTTGAGGCTCACCCAGACGAAGACCCAAGCTCCCTCACAGCGGATTTCGCCCTCCTCTCCCTCCCCGCCTCCTCCTCCCTCTCCCCTCTCGCCTCCTCCAATCCCATCGCTGCCGCCGCCGCCGCCGCCACCATCACCGCCACGTCAGCATCTGCCATGTCAGCAAACGGGAGGGCGCCAGGTGTCGGGAGGAGCCTGGAGAGCGAGACAGCTCAGCTGGTGATGGCTTTGAGGAGGAATCTAGAGTCCAGAGCGAGGCTTTACCCAGAGGAGGAGTTGCAGCAGCTATTTCTTATGAACAACTTGAATTATCTGGTCAAGTCCATGTGAGGTTATCTTGCTTGCGTGTGGGGTAGGAGGGGGAGGAACGTAGGGAGTTAGATAGATCTTCCACTGCTGTTGGCTTTGAGTTGACTTTTGAGTCGACTCAAAAGTCAGGGGGAGGAACGTAGGGTGTGAGAAAGCTCTTCCTCTGCTGTTGGCTTTGAGGAGTTCAGAATCCAGGGCAAGACTATCAGCTGTCTTGATCTTTGTTAACAAACCAAAGAATTTTGTTACCTGATTTTTTCTTTCTTTCTTTCTTCATGTTGGGCAGGAATGACTGGCACGGGTGGCATGCGCAGGGCATTGAAAAGAACCTGTCTGCTGTCAGAAGGTATGCCGCTGCTGCTGGGAGAGTCGTGGTGGCTGGGAGGTATGGCTTAAGCTTGTGGTGCTGTAGCAGACCTGCATGACGACCGGGAGGTGGTGGAGTGGGGTGAAGAGCAGTAGAATGTGGTTCAGTATCCTTACCCTATCCTATTGTTTCCCCGCATTGTTTCCCCTATCAATCACCCCCAGGGAGGGCGCCAAGGACCTCATGGTAGTGCTGGCAGACCTGCATGACGACTGGTTGGAGAGTGGTGAAGAGCAGTGCAGAGCGGTTCAGTTCTCTTCCCTCTCCCTCATCTCACCCACCAGGGAGGGCGCCAAGGATCTCATGGTGGCGCTGGCAGACCCGCATGGCGACTGCGTTGTGGTTGAGTGCGGTGAAGAGTGATAGAATGTGGTTCCTCTCGTTTCCCCCCGCCAACCACCCACCAGGGAGGGCGCCAAGGACCTCATGGTGGCGTTAGCAGACCTGCATGACGACCGGGTGGTGCAGCAGCACGCAGGGGCTTTCCAGTCCCTCGCCCTGCTCAAGGTGAGTCAAGTTGAGACTGCTGCCAAAAGATTAGGTAACCTTTTCAAAAAGGGTTAAGTTGAGTTGTGTGAGCCTGGCACATTAAAGACTGGTGCTGGTTCACCTGCATGACGACCGTGTGGTGCAGCAGCACGCAGGGGTTCAGGAGCTGACAAAGTAGTGTCAGCCTGGTACATCAGAAGGTGGTGAAACAACATTCTGGGGCGTTCCAGTCTCTCGCCCTCCTGAATGTGAGGCGGGTGGATGTCACGTCTCCACAGGTAGTCTCCCCACCCACGTGTGCTTCTTCTCTCCCCACCCACGTGTGCTTCTTCTCTCCCCACCCACGTGTGCTTCTTCTCTCCCCACCCACGTGTGCTTCTTCTCTCCCCACCCACGTGTGCTTCTTCTCTCCCCACCCACGTGTGCTTCTTCTCTCCCCACCCACGTGTGCTTCTTCTCTCCCCACCCACGTGTGCTTCTTCTCTCCCCACCCACGTGTGCTTCTTCTCTCCCCACCCACGTGTGCTTCTTCTCTCCCCACCCACGTGTGCTTCTTCTCTCCCCACCCACGTGTGCTTCTTCTCTCCCCACCCACGTGTGCTTCTTCTCTCCCCACCCACGTGTGCTTCTTCTCTCCCCACCCACGTGTGCTTCTTCTCTCCCCACCCACGTGTGCTTCTTCTCTCCCCACCCACGTGCACCGCTCTCCATTTCCCGTTCCCTCGTCCATCCCCCTTCGTGTCGCCCCCTCTCAGGCCATGGCCGCCCTGTGCAGCAACAAGGACACAGCACAGCCATCCACTCGCTCGCATGTTCTTTCATCCCTCTGCATTTTCTCATGCATCCCTCTTTATACCTGGCCGTTTTTGCATCGCCCCCTCTCAGGCCATGACCGCCCTGTGCACCAACAAGGATGCAGCGCAGCCATCCAGTTGCTCGTTTCTCACTTAATTCCTCTACGTACTCTCTCTCATTGTCTCTCTACATTCTCTCTCTCATTCTATCTCTACATTCTCTTTCCCATTCTCTCTCTACATTCTCTCTCTCACTCTCTCTCTACATTTTCTCTCTCATTCTCTCTCATTCTCTCATTCTTCAAGCTTTATCTTTCTTCTGTGTCGCCCCATCAGGTCATGATGGCCCTGAGCACCAATGAGGACGCGGTTCAGCCAACGCACAGAACTGCTGCCGATTATGTCAAGGCAGAGATGCAACGGTCCAGAGCACCAATGAGGACGCTCTACACCCATCTACTCACTCAGTTTCTCCTTCATCTGCTCCCTTGTAAAACATCACCCCATCTCAGGTCATGACGGCCCTGAGCACCAACGAGGATGCGGTTCAGCCTTCGCACAGAACTGCTGCGGACTATGTCAAGGCAGAGATGCAACGGTGAGATGACATGTAACACTGAGATGACATGTAATGCTGACATGACGTGTAAAACTGCAATAACATGAAAGGTCGAGATGACATGACATGACATGACATGACATGTACCGCTGCTGAGACAACATGTAAAATAACACGTTCTGGTGAAAGCTCCCTTGACATGTATGAGAAACACGGCAAGGACAGCTAGATGACTCTCTAGATGAGGGACACGGCATGACATGTATGAGAAACACGGCAAGGACAGCTAGATGACTCTCTTGATGAGAGACACGGCATGACATGTATGAGAAACACGGCATGACATGTACCTGCTGCTTCTCAAACGCCATGTGGCAACTCCACTGTGGCGAGGTGACTTTTGAGTCGACTCAAAAGTCACACGGCAAGGACAGCTTGATGACCCAGTACCTGCTGCTTCTCGAATGCCATGGGGCAACTCCACTGCAGCAGGCAGGCATTGGGTCATCTCTGGCGGTGGGCCGATATGGGTGCCTCAAATTCCTTCCCTTCACACGATTTGTATCCCCTGCTTGCAGTCTGGAACGCGTTTCCACTCTGCATTTGAGGAGCTGCAGGAGAGGCAGAGGCACTGGGCCTTCCCTGACGATGGGCTGCTATGGTCCTTTCATCCCCCCCACTCGCCATATACCACGTGTACTGTTCCTCACTTGCACCCCCTACTTGCAGCCTGAAGCGGTTCAACTCTGCATTTGAGGAGCTGCAGGAGAGGCAGAGGCACTGGGCCATCCCTGACGATGGGCTGAGGAGGAAGATTCGGGCCAAGTGGGCAACGAGCATCAAGGAGCGGTACCGGAAGATGCTGCTGCCGTACTGGTGGGTGTTGGGGGGTTGGGGGAGAGAGTGTGTGGGTGTGCTAGTCTTAAGGGGCACTGGGCCATCACTTGTGATGGGCCAAGTGTGCCACAAGCATCAAGGAGCGATACAGGAAGATGCTGCTGCCATACTGGTGGGTGTTTGGAAGGGGGGGGGGAGGGTGGGGGGGTGGACGGGAGAGAGAGGGAGTTTGTGTGGTGTGGGTGTGTGTGAGAGAGAAAGTGTGTGTTAGTGTGTGCAGGAAGATGCTGATGCTGTGCTGGTGGTGGGTGCGGGAGGAAAGGGGGGGGGGGGGGGGGGGTGTAGATATGTTAGTTCTTGTTTTATTAGTGTGTTGTTCTGTGCTTGTGTGTTAGTTTGTTTGTCCCTGCTTTTATGTGCAGTTGCTGTGGTGTGTGCATGCGTTTTCCTCAGTACGGAACCTCCACTTACCCAACCTGGCACCTGCTATTGTATGGATCCTTCGTGTATGTATTGCAGGGATGACTTGACATCATGCAAGTTTTATGCCTTCACACCAGAAAGAGTAGAAGAAATTATTCAGCACACTTTCTTCATGGACCCTTCTGATTGAACTCTGGATTGTTTTCACTCTAACCATCGTTAATAATAAATAAATGAGATGTGTATTTATATTCGGTTGCAACTCCAAACCCGTTTGCGATGCTCCCTGCTATCGCATCCTGCAGAATTCCCCCGTTATACTACACTAAATTTAGAATACATTTCACGTGCATGTCTCAGCGCTATACCACTCAGTTGATCTTGTCGAGTTTCCCGCCATTGTGGAAGCGCACAGCCATGTCAGGAGCAGGCCCCAGGAAGTCAGGGTATTTTACCCTGATTAGCCTGTTTTTCAGAGTGAATTTTTAAGGTCACCCTGCTGAAATTGACTTCGACGCTTGTACCGCCCTGACACGCCTTGACATGAGTAAAACCGTACCCTTCAATTCCAGGTGAGAGCATCCTGTCAGCCCTGCCTTTTCCGAGTCTAAGTCATTTTTACCCTGCTAAGGAGTCCTTGAGAGTCGAACTCTCGTGCTCTCCAATTTCAGCTAAGTCAGAGAATTTGGCTAAGACACTGAAACTCTGGAAATGCTGCCAAGTCTTTGAAACACACTGGAAATTTGGCGAAGTCACTGAAGCACTCTGGAAATCCGCCCAAGTCACTAGAACACACTCGACATTCAGCGAAGTCACTGAAACACTGGAACTTGGCCAAGTCACTGAAGCACTCAGAGAATTCGCCCAAGTGACTGGAGCACACTGGACATTCAGCGAAGTCTGAAACATACTGGAAATTCGGCGAAGTCACTCAAGCTTTACGAAATTCGGCGTCACAGAAACACACCAGAATTTTGTCTTTGTCGCTGGGACAAGCTGGAAACTTAGTTAAGTCCCTTTAACACGCTAAGCTCGCTCAGTGACGGAACAGGCTGTAATTTGACGAAGTCCTGCTCAGAGCGGGTCTGCAGAGCTCAGCAGTGTTAGCGAGATTTCTACCCTGCCAGTTCCGACAAGAAAATACAAAACACCCTGCCATTTCCTGAGTATGCCGCGATTGGCACACTGCAGTGGCAGGGTGAAGGTCGGCCACGACTCGCTTCTGGCAGGGTGCCCAAAAACACATCGAGAGGCCTGGTCAGGAGTATCAACCTGACACCCATTTTGGTTCGGTCCGTGCCGAATCGGTTCGGCTTCGGCTGTGCTTCGGTCGATAACGGCTATATTCAAATTCAGGAATGCCGTACCATCTCATTTAGTCTTTTCATTGCCATGACTGACACTGGGTTTTCATTTCCTCAGGATTCTCATTTGCTAGCCAGCCATATGCAGTATTTCTCTTGTATGGTGCTGTGCCAGTCAATAAAATTTCTGTGCGACTGAAACGCGGTATGCTTCTCGGCCAAAGTCACGAAAGTGGAGCGTTGCAAGGAGGAGTGGCGTTGCGGTCAGTAGCATTAGAAGAGGTCAATCAAAACTGGGTACTTTCACACATGGTACGCACGTTACTTGAGCGTCTCGACGCACTAATTTCTTGAAGTCCGCTCCTCGCGAATCGAGATGTTGCTAACTCTTTCGAGATTCACGGCTTGCTCGCAAACCGATGCCTTTCAAGTCGTCGCTTACTTGAACCTAAAGTAAGCCACACATAAGGAAGATCTGCATATATGGAGGTTGAAGTTGTACGTTGCAAATTGTGAGGTGCGTGCTTGACGGTCTGCGCAAGGCAAAGGCATGGCTGAGAGGAATATGCAGTCGTTTGAAGGTTGGCCTGGGCATATCTTGCGTGTGTGGGCTTGCATATCAGCGGTTGCGTGTAAGGGCTTTCGTGTGAGGACTTCGAATGATCGGTCTCGTGAGGGTTTGTGAGGCTTGGCTTTTCGTTGTGAGAGATGCAGAGCCAGTTAGGGCTTGTTCAAGGTTAATACTGAAATCTCGAGAAATTTAAAAAGATTTTTGCTCTGTGGGATAGGAAGGGCTTGTTCAAGGTTAATACTAAAACAGGAAGTGAGATAGGAAGGGCTTGTTCATCAGATCTTGGTCATGATTTACTGCAAGAGATGTTTCTTTTGCCAGTGAAACAAACTGAGGCAACTTCACAGCAGGTTCATGATAGGTTCACAGAATGTTTACAGAAGATTCACCAACCAGTCCTTACATGGCCTCTTCTCATCCTCCTCCCTCCCTTATTCGATTATGTACATACATTGCATGCTATGCTACAGACCACACCAGCCCAGCCATCACAAAGCCAACGCGAAGCTCCAGCCATTTATCCTTCCACACATCCTTCCATGCGTCCTCGATGCATCATAGGTGTGTCCTCAACCTTATTCAGTGACATTGGTTTCCACCCAACTCTCCCTTTTTCACCTCACCTCCTCTACCTCTGCCTCCTCAGCCTCTTCGTACTCTCTTTTCCCTTCCTCAAATGCTCTCAGGTCCCTGGTTCAACTCACTTCCTTGCATCCTCCCCCCCAGCCACCCTCTCAGAGAGCCTTCCCAAGTTGTGATTCTCGAAGGGGTGGCTACGAAGTCTCGACTCATTAGCCACACCCCACCCTCCATCAGCTTTTCTACGGGTCAATCGGCAGACCAATGGGGATATCAATGGGAATCCCGATGGGACGCTTGCAGCAGCGCGGGCCAGTCCTAGGCGAGTAGCAGCAGCGGGGGGGTTCAGTATCCGACCCCTGGCAGCACTGCCGGCCACAGCAGTAACTACCAGTCGCCTCCCCGTTATAGTCAATCCCAGGGCAGCACTCCCCGCCTCTCACGCCGGGGATGCTGCAGCACTGCGGCTTTAACTCATCGTTGCAGCACACGCTTCCGCCGCAGCAGGAGGATTTTTCCGGGCAGCCGCACTGCCCGCCGCAGCATTTCACGCCGCCCGGGCAGCACTTGCCATTGCAGCAAGTGGATCCGGCGTCGCAGCATTTGCCGTTGCAGCAGGTGGTGCCGTGCTTGCAGCAGGTGCCACCGCAGCAGTAGCTGGTGCGGGTGCTGCAGCAGGTGCCAGCAGTGGTGGGATTGCTGGTGGGAGATGGCAGGCAGCAGGTGAGCCCTATGGACTCTCCTCCCAGGCAGCATTTTCCGCCGCAGCAACGCGGTGAGTTTCCCTGAGGAAGGGGCAGGAGAGGTATGGCGGACGGGAAGATATAGAAGTGAGACTATAGATCTTCCCAGTAGACTCAGACGGCAGGCAGCAGGTGAGCCTATGGACTCGCCTCCCAGGCCCCACTGGCCGCCACAGCAACGCGGTGAGTTTCCCTGGGGAACAGAAAGGAGAGGTATGGAAAGAGGGGAAGAGGATAGAGGAGATGAAGATTGCAAGTCACTTCGAGAAGAGAACATATGACATGATACGTCAAGTCCGGACTAGTCTGGGCAGGGCTTGAACGCAAGCCCAAGTGGAGATTGCAAAACGATGTGAGTGACCGTTTTAGGAGTGGCGTAAGGTGACCCGCACGCCAGAGGCAGCAGATCTCATTGCTGTGAATCGTGGAAGCACCCAAAAAATTCAAGGCATCGGCCCCCATTTCAATGAATCGTTGATGCTCCAGTATGATAGGCTGACGTGGACTCACGAGGCAGCAGCTCCCGTTGCAGTAAATATGTGGTCCCCAGCACCCAAATCGGCGCTGCACAGTGTCTGCTGAGCTGTCCTCGAGCATCAGAGGGCACGGCTGACGTGGCGGGATGCATGGGCGGATAACAGGGTCAATGGGGTCTATGGGGTCGTCAATGGGCTCGATGCATCCGCCGAAGCGCTTGCAGATGGGGTCTGGAAACTTGCCGAAGATCATCCGCCTTGGTGCTGCCGAATCCTCGTTTGAAGGAATATCGTTTGTAGCAGTTTCGCCTGCTCCTGAGGTAATAGCTGCGGCATGATCAGTGGACGAAGATTCGGCAAGGCTGGAGTGGTGGGGAGCAGCAAACGAACTGCTGAGAACAGATGAGAGAAGAAATGCTGAAAGGATTTGGAGGAGGGAAACCATTGCTGCTGCTGAGTTGAACAGCAACTCAAGCTTATTAGCAGGGAAAATCTGGATTTGCCCTGAATTCGTTTGGATTTATATCTGCATGTCCTGCTGCAGTTTGAATTTGCTGTGGCAGTTGTTTGGGCTTGAAGGGGCGCCGCCAAATTCAGTCAGTTCACGGAGAGAGTGCGTTTGAGTGCGGTTTGACGATGGATGTGGAATATGGGAAGTGTCAGGGGAGAGTTCCTGCGAAATTGGGAGGTTCCTATTGGCTGAACGGAGGAGAACAATGGAAGGGCGGGCGTATCTGCTGCAAGGAGGTTACGAAGCACTTGAGGATGGAGGTGCGAATGCGCGTTTACACGCTGAGCATATCATGTAATCGAATTCTGAATTGATTCTGGAGGTACGATAAGACGGTGAATTTATACTGTAATGCACTCTCGACAGTTGTAGCCATGCCCGTGTCCAGGTTTTTAAACAAGGTTGTTTAGAAACTGCCATCACCTGGGCGTTGTGGCGAATGCAAACTGCACCGACCAGAACCGCTTTCACATACACAAGCTACACTATGGAGTTACCTGTAACACCTTCACGAAAATCGCGAAGTCGCCGTGACCGCAACCCCGCCAACAGAGCTGTCAGCAGAACTGTCACTGGTAATCAACCCTCGCAATCCGCTCCTCCGAGCCTCATCTCAACCGTCCTTGACATACGCGGTGCGGCTACTGAATTAATCCTGTCCATCCCCAATGGATAACGATCAAAGCAGCTCGCTCCCACAAAACATTTCCGTCGGAGGCTAGCCTACTCACCGAGAGAAGACAGTCTCCACCGCTTTATCTTGATACAATACCGAGCTGTTTGTGTTTCCGACTTGAGACATCTTGTGTTCCCCTTTCACTGGCTGCAGTTTCAGAATTACCTATTTCCCGTAGGTGACTTTCAGAACTCACTGTGAATCTCCTATCGATCACGCAAATGGGTCTCAACGTCTCAATTCGTGCATTTTACATATAGCACTCCTCCTAAGTGGCGGTAGTAGTCTGTAGTTCTCTGAAGCCTCGGGCGTGCTAAGAGCCTCCCATTCGTGTCTTACCTCCCGTTATGGGCGGCGCGTTGGCCAAGCCAAAGGAGCGAGACGCCAAGGGGAAGGTTGTTCTTATAACGGGGTGCTCCAATGGAGGAATCGGCTACGCCATCGCAGAGTAAGCCGCTTAGGCCTCAACTCCTTGACCTCGTTATAATCACTCTCGTTTTCCGCGTCATGCTCTTATGGATTCGTTGGATTTGAAAATGGATATTGCATACGCTTAACGTCGTTTTTTCTTCTGTCAAGTCACTTTCTAGGGAGTTCGCGAACGTGATCGCGGTGACCTGTGAGTAAACTCATTTTGTCTTCTCATCGTCACGTTTTCTTCTGTCGTTTCACTCTCTAGGGAGTTTCATCGGCGCGGCGCGAACGTGTTCGCCACGTCACGCCGAGTCGACACGATGAAGGGACTGAAGGAAAAAGGGGTGCACACGCTGCCGCTCGACGTCACATCTGAACCGTCCATCCAGGTGATCCGATGTTTGCGATGCCATTTAGCAACCTGTGAGGAGCATGGGGACGGCCATCCCTTCCCACCCCCTCCCCATCCCCTCCCCATCCCCTCCTCAACCCCTCCCCACCCTACAGGCGGCAGGCAAGTCACGCATGCAGCAGGGGGGCGGGTGCAGAGGAGCTGCTGGGCTGCTGGGTTTGACATGATGCTGTCTCCCCTCCCTTCCACATCTCCCCCACCTGACAGGCAGCAGAGCAGCAGGGCGCGAGTAGACGTGCTGGTGACGTCTGCCGGGTTTGTCCTTGTCGTGTTGTCTTTCATTCCTGCCCCCTCTTTTGAGTCGACTCAAGGTGACTTTTGAGTCAACTCAAAAGTTGCCGGGTTTGTCCTTGTCGTGCTGTCTTTCATTCCTGCCCCCTCTCCTCCTCCCCGCTGCGCACCCTAAACCCTGCAGGCAGCGGTGAAGCAAGTCACCAGAGCAGGGCGGGTGGGCGTGCAGGTGAACAACGAGGGGTGTGGATGGGCTGCTGGGATTGACAGGCTGTCTGTCCTCCTCCCATACCCCTAACCTCTATGTTCACGCAGGCAGCAGTGAAGGAGGTGGCAAAGGCAGCAGAGCGGGTGGGCGTGCAGGTGAACAACGCGGGGTGTGGGTGGGCTGCCGGGGGCTCTGGCAAACTGTCCCTATTCCATTTCCCCTGTCCCCCTCTATACGTCCACCCTATAGGCGGCAGTGAAGGAGGTGGCACGAACAGCAGGACGTGTGGACGTGCTGGTCAACAATGCGGGGTGTGGGCTGCCGGGGCCACTGGCGGAATTACCCATGGCGAGGGTCAAAGAGGTGCGATGCGGTACTCGTGGGTGAGCATGGGACAAGGTTGTTTTTTGTGCTTAGATAGATAGAGGGTGCGGGGTGCCGGGGCCAATGGAGGTATTACCCATGGCGAGGGTCAAATCCCTACATGCCTCATGCACAAGGCGACGGACTCATACCTCCAACATCTCATCCCTCCTAATCTTCTCCCTCTCCCCTTTCCAGGTGCATGACACAAACATGTTCGGAGTGTTGGCACTACCTCAGGCCGTTTCCCCTACAAGCACAAGAAGAAGCGTGGGTGAATGATCAACAGATTGCCCCCTTTTTTACCCTCTCTCTCTCTCCTCGTCACTTAGGTGCACGACACAAACTTGTTTGGAGAGTTGGCGTTGTCCCAGGCCGTGTTTCCCTACATGCACAAGGCGACGGACTCATCCCTCCAACATCCCATCCCTCCTAATCTTCTCCCTCTCCCCTTTCCAGGTGTACGACACAAACCTGTTCGGAGCATTGGCGTTGTCCCGGGCCGTGATTCTCTACATGCACAAGCGCAAGGACTATAAATCCCCTCCTACCCTCCTCCCCCCCTTCGTTTGTCTCCCTTCTCCCTCGCTCTCCCTCTTCCAGGTGTTTGACACAAACCTTTGAGGCGCCTCAAAAGTCTTCTCCCTCGCTCTCCCCCTTACAGGTGTATGACACGAATGTCCTTGGAGCATTGGCGTTGTCTCAGGCCGTGTTTCCCTACATGCACAAGCAGAAGAGCGGGCGAATTATCAACGTTTCCAGTGTTGCTAGCTACACTTACAGGTGAGGTGGGTACATTCACAAGTGAGGTGGAGGTTACACGTACAGCGCAGATCTACCACTACTTCGACGGCTCCTATCCTAAACCGGTGGAAGACACCGAAGACGCCCGGGCTCAATACTACAGTGAGTCGCTTATGGCGTATAGCGTCCTGCTGCGCAACATGTCGCCTGCAGAACAACTCGGCATCCGCTCCTACAAAGAGAGCGCCGCTCCAGCCCTAGAAGCCTGGAAGCACCTCGTTGAGGTATATCAGCCGAAGGATTCCGTCACTGCAAGTCGTCTCCTGCAACAACTCATGGAGACCAAGATGGGGCACGGGGAGAAAGCAAACAGCTACATCAACCGTTGTCGGAACATCCGTGATCAAATCATCAAGAACGGAAGTTCCATCACGGAGGAGATATTCGTCAACATCGTCCTCCAGGGACTTGGGCCCGAGTGGAAGCCCTGCAAGGCACTACTCCGACAACGAGGACAGCTCTCTGAAGCCGCGCTATGCGCCGCACTGCTGACTGAACAGCAGGACATGGACTCGAGCAGAACGAGTTCCGCGCCACGCCGAGAGCGACTCGCCTTCTACACAGACAACCGAGAAGAGCGACGACAACCAAGGCGCCACTATTGCAAAATCTGCAAAATCTTCGGACACTCAACGGATCGATGCAAGTCCCGATCCAACTATCGCCACCCGAATTCCACTCACCACAACAACTGGGTCGGCCGACAAGACACTCGTCATCCTCAGCCTCAACAAACAGCTCCCCGTTCTCCTGCTCAACAGCAACCACAACAAGTACAGGGAAGTCAGGTTGGAGCTCCCAGAAACGTGACAGCAAACATGGTGACACGGCGCCGCTGCACCGGCGAACCAGACGAAGAAGACCAACTCCGAGGAGAACTACTCGAGCCGGAAGAAGGATGGAACAACCCCTTCACCGAAAACCACTATTACGGATACGACGAAGACGAACAAGATTGGAACCTGCCAATCACTTTGCGGGAAAGCCCGCCGCACGACAATCAACACTACGTACCTGTAGGATGGAAGGAGGACGAAGACCCATCTTTCCACAAACGCTACAAGGCAACACTGGTGACTCCGCGACTCGCATTGCTTCTACGCAACAACAACATCGATAACATCAATACCTGGTACCTGGACAGCTGCTGCGGACAGCACATGGTGGGATCGGTTCGATACGTCTCGAACCTCAGCCGCGCCCCCGCAACCTACGTCACCGTCGCCAACAACCATCAGCTGCGCGCCAACGCACAAGGCATCGTCGTCCTGCAATCTCGAGACAGCAACACACACATCTCTTTCAATTACTTGCTCTACGTTCCGGAACTCCGCTTCAATCTTCTCTCGGCAGGACAACTTCGCGACTGCGGTGTCATCCTCACCACGGATCTGGCCACGCGCGACCTCATCCTCACCTACGCTCCTCCCAACACACCGCCCGAGTCATTCAAATACCTCGGACGAGCTCGGTCAATCAACGGGATCTACGTTCTGGACTTTGACATACCAAACTGCCAAGCTTCATCCGACGAACTCGTGGATCTTGTCCCTCTCGACTTCGCCTTCATGAACGAAGAATCGTGGCAGCATCCGGACGGACGGCCATGGATCCGGCGAAGTCCACATCCCCGCGAAATCAATCTGCACGAGCCCGACATCACCGGCCTCTGCACCACCTGCCACACGCCCACGGCGAGCCGCACGGAGCAAGTCGAAAGAGAGTACGCGGCGATCCAGGAGGCAGAAAGCGCTGAGGAGGAACCAACTGGCATGACAGAAGAAGAACTAGCTGTCGCAACCTACCGCATCTTCGGAGAAGAAAACAAATAGTTCGGTCAACAACCGGTGCCACGCCCAACGCCGCGCTCCGACACCCTCCGCTTCATACTAGAAGCCAACACCAGCACCTTCGATGAAGAAAATCGACCGCGCCCGTACACTCGCGAAGTTTATCGCCGCGAAATTGACCCGGCTTGGAAAGACCCTGACGCAGAAGGAGAACTCAGCATCAAGGAAGAACAGGAGAAGGCCAGGGCAGAGAAGAGACAGAAGCTGTACGAGGAACGCGTTGCGGCAGGATGGAGCGAGGAAACCGCACGACGAGGGGCATGGGGAGATGAAGATTACGAACCAGAAGAAGGCGCCACCTGGGGATCCGCCACTGGCGCCTAGGGTACCGCAACCAGCGGCACGGTTAGCACAGGTGGATGGGGCACGGCAGCGCCAGACGAAGCAGAACTGACACAAGAAGAACTAGAGAAGGCAGAACAGGAGATGCGAGCTGAGCGCGGAGAAGAATCTCCCCGCACCACCATACCCCTCGGGCGACCGCCACCCGCACACTCGCCTCCACGTTCACCCCACCGATGGGAAAGCACCTGGACAGAGCTTGAGGAGGGGAACATACCTCCAACACCAGCACGAGACTCTCTCGGTCCAATCTCTCGTCCAGATCCATTTGCGCGCCTCATCGAAGGCACGAAGACGCCGCTAAATACCATCCCTGACCGCGAATTTCTCGCCCTCTATCTCACCACGGCACCTGCAGAAGGGGAAACAACGGCAGAGGCAGAAGAAGAGGGGCCCGAAGCAGAACCAGGAGAGGAAGAAGAACCACCACTACAGATTCCGCAACTTACGGAAGCAGAAGAAGCGGAACAGCACGCCCGTTACAAGCGCACCTCCGGCATACGTGCCGAAAATGACCTCTGGCATCAGCGGCTGGGCCACCCCTCACGCCAGACACTCGCTAACTGCCTCCGCGCGAAAGTTTTTTCGCCTGGCGCATTGCTGCGTCCTGACGGAACGGAACTACAGAGTGCCACGCCAAACCCGACCACCTGCATTGTCTGCCCCACAGCTGCACTCTCCCACACCGCCTACCCCTCTCTAGAGCCGAGCACTAACCGCTACAAAAAACTGGAAAAGGTGTACAGCGACTTCATCGTACTCACCTGCGACGGACTCAACGGCGAAAAATACACGCTGACCTTCATCGACGCCTACTCGCGCTATGTGTGGATCGCCAACGTCGATGCTCGCTCAAAAGCTCCGGACGTGTTCCGCATCTTCCTCGCGCACGCGCAACGACAGTCAGGGAGGAAACTGAAGATTTGGCAGAGTGATGGGGCAAAAGAATTTCGCAGCCACGAGCTGGAGAGTGTCCTCACTGAGAAAGGGATCAGGCATGAAATCTCTCTCCCCTACGCTCATCAGCAGCAAGGCGTCGCTGAGAGGGTCAATCGCACCCTCATGACCAAAGTCCGCGCCATCATGAACCAGTCTGGCCTGCCCAAGAAGTTTTGGCCTTACGCCATGAACCACGCGGTGCGCCTGCACAACCTCCTCTCCACCACAGCCAACAGGGATAACCTATCCCCCCACATGAAGTGGACCGGCTCAAGGGGAGACCCCTCCATGCTGCGGGTTTGGGGGTGTATGGTGCAATATCGGCCGACCTCGGCCACAATTGGCAAGTTCGTTCATCGTGCGCGCTGGGGAATTCATCTGGAGCTCAGTCACGAGCACAAAGGCTGGCTCATCCTTGACATCGACAGTAACGAGATCGTTCCTGCGCGTGACATTCTCTTCTACGAACGACTTACCCTGAAGTAGTGGATTGAGGATGAACGCCGAAACCAGGCACGCGGCTATGTCCACAGCGGCCGCAGTTTTGCGACTCCGGAAGATGAAGCAGCAGTAGCAGTTCTGGACCGTGACGATACCCACGAACATCCCAGCGTCCCGCCTCGCCCACGCGACGACGACGACAATGATAGTGACGACGACCCCGCGCCAGGACCATCACGGCGCCAAGCAACGCCACGTGCCGCAACACCCGGCTACGAGAGCGGCGACGACGATGTGGTGGAAGTTCCCACCACCACAGGCACCACCACCGTGTCCGGCCTCCAGCTTCTCGGCCTACACGCATCCGTTTCTACCCTTGCCCGGGCTGCAGAACCCAAGAACCCTCGCCAGGCCCTAACCGGCCCCCACGCCAAGGAGTGGCGTGCTGCGATGGATGCGGAGCTAAAGGCGCTGGAATCCCGCAACACATGGGTTCTCGTCGATCGTGCAGCAGTGAAGGGGAGAAAGGTACTGAGCGGCAAATGGGTTTTTCGTCTGAAAACTAACGCTGACGGCACTATCGAACGCTTTAAAGCCCGGTGGGTCGTACGAGGATACGACCAGCGCCACGGCATTGACTTCGATCAAACCTTTGCTCCCGTCAGCCGTCACACCTCAGTCCGAATTCTACTCGCCATTGCCGCCGCTAAGCATCTGCCACTGCGACAGATCGACGTGAAGAACGCGTTTTTATACGCGTTGGTGGACGCCACCATCTTTGTGGAACAGCCACACACCTACGGAGAAGGTGATCCCAGGGTCTGTCAACTGAAGAAGTCTCTCTATGGGATCAGGCAAGCGCCTCGTCTCTGGCAACAACATCTGCACAAGATCCTGATCGACATAGGTTTCAGACAGCTGCCACACGACCCGGGAATGTACCGCCTCCACTTCAACGGCGACTACATCCTCCTCACCGTCTATGTCGACGACCTGCTGTACACTGGCACCTGCAACCTGCTCCTTAATCAGTTCGAAGAAAATCTGGCAAAGCGCGTGGACATCACCATCAACCACAAAGTCACTCAGTTTTTGGGTCTGAACATCACCCACGCGCCAGAAGCAATTCACCTGTCAGCTTCAAAATACGCAGAGCAGCTGGGGGAGCGCTTCAACATCCCACGCGCACCACTCTCAACCCCCTACCGCAACCCCGGCACCAACTACAAACCGGACAACAAACCTCTGTCCCCTGCCGGACTCCAACTGTACCAGCAGCAACTGGGTTGCCTGCTGTTCGCATCTGTCACATGCCGACCCGACCTCTCGTACATCGCCAGCCAACTGGCACAGTACTCACGCAAGCCAATAGCCGAGAACCAGCTGGACTTGGAGCGCGCCCTGCAGTACT